TTGTTATCAGTATTATTGCCATAAAACCTATTTGAATTATATGAGAAACGTTTACTTTCTTTCATACGAATTTCATTTGTTGAATCAATGTTACTTAATGCTTGTGCAATTGCCGATTTATCTGCATAATTTACCGAAGCTAATAAATCACGACTTTTCATTGGAAGTTGTTGGATTATATGACAATGCATTTAAAAAATGGTATACTTTGGTTTAAAATGCTGAGCAATGGGGAGTTGATCATAAAAATACGTCAGCAATGTGCCATCTTGTTGCGTGTACTCTCGTTACAACCATTTACTCTTTAATTTTTCTTGACATGGTACCGAATTATATTCTTTCAAAAACGTTAATTTAAAGGCTACGGAAGGTTGGAAAACGTTCGATTCATACCACACTTGATGCCTACAGCCGTAATAACAAAAAATATTGTTCGTTATATGGCCTAAAAAAACTTTTATGCCACTCATGTCTGAAACCGGCTGGATTACACACTCGACGCTTCACGTCTCGTGTCTAATTCAGCCGGTTTCAGGCTTCGTGACATAAAATTTTGTTCAGTACTTGTTCGGAAATTTCGTCCTTAACGTGTGTGGTTACATCACTCGCCTTCGGCTCATGCTGTAAACCCCACACACGTTAAAGACGAAATTGCCCCACACGTGCTGAAATATACTATTCTAGTTCATATGATTGCAACTCTCGTCTTCGGTTCGGGCTGCAAACTCATATTCGCCAGAAAAGTTTTTTTTGGCCTAATGACGGAATATACTGATATATGATTCATAAATGGATCATGAGAGTAGCCCACCCTCTTCCCTAAGCCAAGCTTAACCGATATGTTTAGATGAAAGACTACCTGGAGCAAGCCGCCAAAGTTAAGAAATTAACGGTAATAGGAGTGCAAAATGACGGTAATTTTTTACATGCGTCAAGTCAGTAAATTTACTGTTTTCTGACCATTTCTGACTTGAGGCCTCGTGATGCAAACTGACCGATCAACTTACCCAATTGCCAGTAATTTTTTCTCGTTGTCATTTGTGCTGAAAAATCGTCTATCTAGATGTAATCTAACAGTCATTTTTATGCTCGGTCATTTTCTTTCATTTTCTTCGTGATTTTTTTAGAAATTTGAGTAAAATTATGAATAATGCCGAAACAGAAATCGAAAATTTAGTGAATACTACGTCAGCATGAAATTGCAAAAAAAATCAGAAAAGTTTCGTAGCACTTTTCTTATTTATCATTATCACAGAATCTATAAAGCTCAATTATAGAAAAACAATCGTATAAAATTTTTCATTGGATAAATGATGTCGTAAATCTTCTCATTTGAAACTAATTAAAGAACTCTCTCAAACATATGATTCCTAAAGCAGACTATCTGTTCCTAAAATTTGGAGAGCTCCAGTGTCGAAAGCTCAGCCCAATGACCATCAAGATTTTCTTGAAAATTTAAAATTGAAAAATGACCGTCAAGATTTTTTTTTCTTTTTTTCTGACCAAAAATTGTCAGTAATTGGACTTCGATAACTGACGTGTAATTTACGTGCTAAATGACGGTAAATTGACCGCTCAGCTTTGTCTGTTACATCCATAAACGGTAATACTCGACTTCCAGGTAGCTTAGCCAACATTTTCCGTTCCATCCCAAATTGTAAATGTACCGGTGAATTATTCTCAAGTTATTGACATATTATTTGAAAATTATTCATAGATAGATCAGAAAAGTAACTCACCTCCTGCCTAAACGAAGGTTAATAAATATTTCAAGATGCAGGATTACCTGACATTGGTCGGAAAAGGCGACGAACTGACTTTGAAGCTCAACTCCCAGTTAGCTCAGCATATCTTCTATTCAGAGATATTTAACCTGTTGTATAAATCTATCTCATTAAAAGATTGAATATCTTCCTGTAGACACCCTGTAGCATGTGGCTATGGTTGTAGTAATGCCACGAGACATTTCATGAGACATCACAAGACAAAGCTTTGGAGAGATGATCTTCGGTCTCAATGACCACGGAAATCTTTGCTCTCATCTCAGTCTCAAAATACGCAATATCGACTCCTTTCGTGATGACTCCGAGTCAATTTATTTCATCTCGGTTTGCAGTTTTCGCGTTTTTTATATGTAGAAAACCGAGATAAAAACCGAGATTTTAGATGAAAAAACCCGACAAACTTGAGACCGAGATGAGATAAATTGACTCGGAGTCATCACGAGAGGAATCGATACCGTGTATTTCGAAATTGAGATAAGAGCAATGATTTCCGTGTTCATTGAGAACGAGATATTGTCTCCAAAGTTTTGCCTCGGAAAGTGTCTCGCGGGAACACCATATGGTTGTATGCCTCTCACAGGAACAGGGAATTGCTACGGATCCATTCGGAAGCTTACTGCCAATGGAATGGGTAGAAAAAAAAAAGAAAAAGAATCATAACGCAAAAAGTAACGATCGCATGCCTTCTGTCGGGTAGGCTCAAACCCCTGCTTGTTTTTTATCCTTCTCTTACTCATTAGACCAAGAAAATTTGTTCGCAGAATTTCGGGAACTGCGTGCTGCTAATTGCACGCTGTAATATGAAAAGTTAAAACTAAGTTTTAGTCATTTTTCGGAATGGAGTACGGTGTTAATGGGGTAGTTTTTTTCCTCGTCGATTGATAGAGGTCCACTTTGATGTAGATGGGGACTCGAGTTTGTGACTAATGAGAAAATATCAGGGATCTGGTTTTGATGCATTCACGTGGGTGCTGGGGAACAACTCGTGCTCGTTGCAATTGAATCACTCAATCATGATGTTACGTGTCCAAACAACACGGATCCATTATCCAATGATTAGGTTTAAGTGTTACATTATCACCGGTCATGGGGTTACCTTTCAGTGGGAGCCCATTTAGAATTTAAATGAATTCTCGATTGCGTCTCGTTGGTCTCGCTGAATGGACCTGTTTCTTTGCGCGGGGACGGTGAAAACTTTTACGATTACAATTGCATCCACGTGCTCCACGAATTACGGATGAAATTCTTTCTCTTTCAAGGAAGAGGAAAATTAAAAATACTGAGGGGAAGAGATGGAATACTTTTGTGCTTTGTTCGCATATAAGGAAAAATACAAAATTAAAATATGGATGATATATTTATGAATCGATTGTGGAGTGCACTTGTTACTGGAATAGATCCATTAATTGACATAGGAATGTAGGCCTTGATGGAAATTAAGCAGAATGAAATTGTATACTGTTGATATTTTTTTTAAGTGATAATTAAACTGAAATTTTGACGAGGGCCGATGTTGGAGGCCATACTTTTGAGACAGAATTCTTTCGGCGATGAGTAAATCAATTGAATTTATTGAAAATATGAATAATCAAGAAAATTTTATGGAAAATATTATATTGTGCACTAAGGGCGGGAAGTCATGTTTTCCCCATCCAAGATGCACATGCTCAATGGTAGAAAGTTGTGCCCGAGAGAGGCAAATACCGACTCGTTTTCGGGGAGAAAGTAATCAGTACTTTCCGCCCGAGAAAGCAACTTTCCACCCTAGAGCGGAAAGTACTTACATTCCTCCCGCTTATTGGGGAGCAAAGTACACAGAACTTTTAGTGCAGGTGTGTGAAAAAATTCATTAACTTTTGTACTATTATAGATATTGAAATTTTAAAAGTTTCCTCGCGAAATAAATAAACATATCAAGACAATGCGACTCGATTTTTTACTTTTCAAGTTATTTTTAATAATTTTCCTCAATACATAAACAAATAACATATTTTTAAAATGTATATAATATGGGTGAATCTATATTCTACATACTTCTCTAATTTATATTCTCGAAATATTTAAAAATATGTCCCGTATATGCAAACATTTCGGAATTATAAAAAATATATATTTGAAATCATGTTTTTTTATAATCAAAAAATATATTTGCACAAATATTTTTTTTGCGCGCGGGGTACTTGAGGGGTTAATGAAATGTGTTGCAAGCTTCAGTAAGAACCTGTAATTGGCCATCTCCTGAGAGTCTTCAGCCAAGTATTTACATTTTAAATGCATAGTAGTTGGTAATAACAAAAAAGAAAAAGTCCGTTCATGCTTTGACTTTAAAAAATAAAAAATGAGTGTGTGATGAGACGGTACGGTATAGAGCAGTGATATGATGACTGAGGCATTTCAGAATGTCACCAGTTATTGTTGGAGGTGAGCAAGGCCTCCCCCGGAGTCTGAGGCGACATGCTTTGAGACTCTTAAATAAGGTGTGTCGAGGGTATTTGTATTGAGACCTAAGCCCAGGATTGCACTTCTTGCACAGGTCTCGGATTTGGTTCAGCTTGCGAAGAGCAAAGCCCGTTGTCAACTTGTGAAATTGTTGTTGCGGTTCCGGAGCATGTGAATTCGTTAAATTTTTTTATCATTAGAATTTTTATCATTAGAATTTATATCTATGATAGTTCGAAAAATATTCGGACATAGAAGGTTATTATTTCGATGAAACCACATTTTTTAAAACTTTTTTTATTCATGTTTCATTCCGGTTTCATTCGTATTTCATTCAAAAATTTCAAATTTCACCGGTTTTTCGATGCAAGGGTTAACTTGCCAACGCGGCCATCGCCCGAGGGCCTTCAGCCAGGGAATGTTGAATGTGAAGTGGATTTTTCAGTTGAAAATTCCGTGGAATATTCGGTTTGAAAATTGTGTTGAATTTCCAGTTGAATATTATGTGGAAAATTGTGATGAAAAATTGGTGTGGAATTTTGGCCTGGCCGGGGCTCGAACCTGGGAGCTTGAGGTTGTGAATCTCATGCTGCTACCAAGTGCGCCACACAGCCGAGTTTGTTTCATTCATTTGTGCCAAAACTGTGACATTCACCCTTACAATATCAGTATTTTTGATTTGACGAAATTTATTCTTCTCCGCACAAGTCACACAACGATTTTTGCTCTCATTTCATTTATCCAAACATCAACAGACCGAATCCGTGAAACGATAAAAAACATGTGACATCATTTTATTCATATTTCAGTTGGTACAGAATCTACATTGGATAGGGAATACAATCAAAAAAGATTTAACAGAATTAATGAGCTTTCGTTGGCACCAAAAGGCTGGTGTTTGCGGGACAAGTGTCGCATTGAATTTTGCAAACAAAAGATATATACGATGAGCATTGAATATCATCCATGCCGCCGGAATTGAGTAACCGCACACAACGCTGATTCCCCCCGTAGTTATCTGGATTAGGTGAGATACGTGGAGACCACCTAGCGTAGCCAGTTGCATTGAGCCTCACGCCTTGCACGGTCACCCAGTCTCGGAAGGCAAAAAGATCGTGGACCCCGAGCCATGTATCGTCGTATTTTACGGCATTAACCATGTTTAATATGAGTTTTTCCTCAGCATCCGAAGTTATTACGGCGAGATGACCTGCATATTAATATTGACTCTCAGAAATTTAGCTCAATAAATGTCAAGAGATAAGTGTCGTATGATGTGATTTACCTCCTTCGTCGATGCAGGTGTTGCGGGCGTCGTTCCATGTTTTTTTGGTTTTATGGTATTTATGTGCTCCAATGCCTTCCGTCGCTGTATATCCCTCCGGAAATTTCTGGGATTCACAGGGTTTTTTGGCAGTGGAACCTGAGCAAGGTGGAAGATGTAGTGTTTGAAATTTTGTGTGCATTCTTCTATTTAAAAAAATTGGTGGAACCTTTTTCACTAGGAAACTATTTGGCCAATCTGACGCTAGACTTAGGAATATTTCAAGTTTATCTTAGGTTATGAATTAAAAATAGTTATCTGTTTATATTATAAAAATCCAAATCGACTTCTGGTGATGAAGATTTAGTACTCGAAATTAAGACTCAAAAATCAAGGGTCACAAGAGTCAAAATAAGGGTCATGAGGGTCAGAATATGGGTTACGCGGGTCAATATGAGGATCAGAATAAGGGTCACAAGGGTCAGAATGAGGGCCACAAGGGCCAAATTAAGGGTAATAAGGGTCAGAATAAAGGTCACAAAGATCAGATTAAGGGTCATGAAGGTCAGACGAATAGTCCAAATAAGGGTCACAAGAGTCAAATTAAGGATCATATGTGTTAAATTAAGGGTCCAAATAAGGGTCAAATCTAGACTCTGAATAATGAACAGAGATCAGATTAAGGGTCACAGTAAGGGTCAGAATAAAGATCATGGAGGTCATGTGTAGGTCATATGGGGATTGGCAAGCGGAGCGGGCAAGAGGGTAGCCCCTTAGTTTGTATATAAAATGTATAAAATAATAATGATTATGTATTTATATTTATTCATATATAAATGAGTGGTGGGGGGGTGAAACGGAAGGGGAGTCCTATTGTTATCGAGCTCTGATTCAATCAAAAAAAAAAAACAGAGGAACCCGATCGACAAAATTTCTATTTACTCATGAACCCTCAAAAATTGCTTTTATGGCGCGGCTACGTCAAAAGTGCAACTTATCGGTGCGTTTGGCGTGCAATAAGTAGCCTATTATGACCTAGGGCCAGAAGTAACTAAACAGTGCGATAAGTGACGTTTGGAGCAATCAGTGAGCAACACCAGCGCCATATGAAGTCGCCTGCAATAACCTCAAGTGGCAGGTTGACGTTTCCAGAATACACAATTTTTCTCTCCTGTTTAACGACTATTTAGAGCATAATGTCTATAGACATTATATTCTAGTTATTTACATTTCCTCTGAGAAGACATATTATTTCATTTTAGATAAGAAATTTATCAATGTTTGAAATTCCAGAAAAATATGACGTCAAATTTGCCATTCATAAATGTTTCATGTACGAAAAAGAATTATTGAAAAACCTAGTGCATATTAGCTGGAAAATTCTATTAGTTTTTCGGCGATTCTATTGAAGAATTCTGGTGCTTTTCTGCACATGTTTTCAAGTAGATAGAAAGCTTATTTCATTGCGATATTTTCCTCAGGAATTCTTCGGCATAAATTTTCTAGCTTTTTTTTTACTGGATTTCTTTTCTTTTCATTGGAAAGTTCAAGCAAAAAAACATTGCTTGAACGTGGAGTGTTGGCACCTTTGATCTTGGCTCCCACTCTATACCCCAAAATTAGACTGAGGAAATACCTTGAGGGACTCATATGGCGACTATCTGTTATTGCAGTGCACTAGCGGGGCCCTTCATATTAAATTCCAAATTGATTCAAAAGTCGATTCAATGAGACTCAATTTTAATGAATTTTCAACCTAAGTCAAGAATGCCATGAACAATGTCATCTTGAATTTAATTTAAAGTCACAATATAGCGCAAGTGAATGTTGACGAAATTTCAATAAGCTTCTAGAAAACCGTGAACTTCCGTTTATAATATTATATACTTCTTTGCCTAATCGTTTCCTTGATGATAAAACTCCGTATTGAAGTCACGGGAATCAAGAAAATATCATGAAATGTCAAGGGAATCAGTTTTTTAGCCATGGAAATTTCAAAAAAGGATCTTATGACATTTTGTCTTACAACTTATTCTAAAAATAATTCCATAATTAAACCCCCATTGGCCGTTACTCACAAAGAAAATAAAGATGTTTTGCCGTTCAGGGACATGTCATCGATTTTCAATAATTAATCCTCACCCATTGAAGATTTGCAATTGTGAAATTCAACGAGTGCGAAATTTTGAAATTCAGTGATTTTGTCACCAATTTTTAGGGACATTGTCATTAATTTTCAGGGAAATATCACTGGTTTTCAGGGACTCACCTCCAATTTTTAGGAATAATGTAACACCAAATTTAAGAGATAGAAGTCACGGATGATCAGGGAGTCTATTCTCGAGTCGAATTCTGGACAATTCTCGAACCTGCCATAATAAAAGGTATAATAAACCCTCGTATTCCCGACCAAAATGTTCAGTCCGATTCAGTCCGATACCAAAACACGATGTAGCGTAAACACATCTCTTCAAATCTAAAGACAAACGTCTTTATTCCACAACCACGAGTTCTTATTTCACGACCCGCACTAAACTGCGACAAAAAAACACCTAAGTTTTTTTAGTTCAAATTTCGGATGATACCGTAGACTGTTCACTCTATACTTATTCTTCCTCCAAGTTTATCGGTCGCTGACATTGCGAATAACACTCACCTCTAAGCCATTTATCAAGTCCGTCGCTCACGTATATTTGAATGGAATATACCGTTCAACTAATTTTGCAAGAAAATGAAATAAATAAATAAATAAAGTACCGAGTTAGTATTTTATTATAATTTATAATAATGAAAACTCTATATACCAGTTTCTACATGCTCACTGCATCTTAATATCCTACTACTGTCAAATTTAAATATTCATAGGATCCCTAAGAAACAAATTGCTTCTCGATTAGATGTTTTTCTGAAAGGATATTTCAAGAACCTTCACTCCAGATTTGAAGTGAAATGTTTCTGCAAATGCAATTGAATATTCATTACCATAATCAAGGACGTTGCCATTAGGGATGCAAAATGACGGTAATTTTTTACATGCGTCAAGTCAGCCGTAAATTCATCATTTTCTGACTATTTCCGACTTGACGCATACCTCGCGATGCAAACTGACCGGCTAACTTGCCCAATTGTCAGTGAAAAATCGCTTATCTAGATGTAATCTGACTGTCATTTTATGCTCGATTTTTTTTTCATTTTCTTCATGAATTTTTTTAAAAATTCGAATAAAATTATGAATAACGCCGAAACGGAAATCGAAAATTTAGTGAATGTTACCTTAGAATGAAATTGCAAAAAAATCAGAAAAGTTTCGTAGCACTTTTCTTATTTGTTATTATCACAGAATCTATAAAGCTCAATTATAGAAAAACAGTCGTATAAAATTCTTCATTGGATAAATGATGTAAATCTTCTCATTTGAGAATTAATTAAAGAACTCTCTCAAACATATGGTGCCTAAAGCAGGTTATCTGTTATTAAAATTTAGAGAGCTCTGGGGTCCAAGGCTCAGCTCAGGGGCCGAATTTCGAAGTAACACGGCAACATGATGAACGATATTTGATGCGCTCTATCTAGTTGTAAAATGACCGTCAAGATTTTCTTTGGTCATTTTTGTGACGCGAAAGTCCGTCAATTTTTTTCTGACCAAAAATGGTCAGTAATTGGCCTTCGGTCGGTGACGTGTAAGTTACGTGTAAAATGACGGTAAATTGACCGGTCAGCTTTGTCCATTACATTCCTAGTTGCCATCGCAATTAGAAAACATTTTAAAATTTACCTGGTGAAGGGGCAACGAACTCCACTCGTCCATCATTAGCATTAACGGTCAGTTTACCACCTCTGGCATCAGTTCCATTAACCAAAAATCCATTCTGTGCAACAAAAATGCGCAGTTGGATACCATTGACAATGTTTACATAAAATTCATTGGCACGCGTTGATGCACGGATACTATATCCATTACCCTGCAGCGAATTCACAACAAACCCGGTTGCGGTGGGTGGACACTGATTTTCTACACTGCTCGCTCTAGTTACGCTCAAAAGGGCAATTAGTGCAAAACCGGTAATACACTTTGTAATCATTGTGGTTGGGATTTTGGTTGCTAGGCCGAGCAAAGAACTGGCTGGATTTTCCATTATTTTACGCTTCATATGTACCCGCTGCTCATCGACAGTTATCCCCACTCATTCAATTACTCTCGACGAATCAAGAGTGAAAAATGAAATGAAGATTTACGGTCCACGGCAAATAGAGTCGATGATACGAGGGGTTTCCCGCATATTGACTCTGTTTATTCAAATTCGTATTACATTCTATTGGACATATCATATATTTGAGGTCTTGTCCTCGACACATTCATCTATGTAAACTCACCCTGTTAGCTGTTGATCATTTTATCGCTAAATGCTAATTGTAATGTTTACATTTTTAATCAAGTGTAGTCTGTTTACTTGATTCGTTTGAGGATGGGATATATCGTATTCTGAAACAGTGGTTGTTTGAATAACCTCGTTACTGAACACGTGGGTTAATCAAATTTAATTTCCTGTAATTGTACAGAGCTCACATGTTTAGGGATTTTAATCAAATTCGCAAATATTGAGATTTATTTAAGAGGAGACTACCCACGAGTTTCAAAAGTCGCGGACCATTGGAATAAGATTTCTCACACATTGAAAATCGATTATATATGCCTAAAAATAAATAATTAGCGCAAAAAAATTGATTGTTTTTTCGTTCGTTTGCTCCGCAGACGCTTAAAATATTAACGATAGTCCAGGGCCTCCAATTTTTTAACTACAGAGGGTTTTTTTTTTCAAAATTTTTGAAAAAATGTCTACAATAACAATTACGAATTAGGTTTTGGAAATTCGACTTCTACATAGCTAATTCAATTTTTTTTTAATAAAAAATTGCACCATTCATATTAAATAGCCCAAGAAATGTTTCTGAAAGAATCGAAAATATATTTAAAATATTATACGAATTACTAAAAAAATTTATATTAAACAAAACAAAATGAGCTGTGTAGGAGTCGAATTTCAAAAAACTAATTCGTAACTGTTAGTGTACACATTTTTTCAAAAATTAAAAATGAAAACCTCTGTAGCTCAAAAATTGGAGGCCCTGGACTATTTTTAACATTTTAACGTATGCGGAGCAAACGATACCGATAAACCATCAATTTTTTTTCGATAATTATTCGTTTTTAGAAACATATAATCGATATTTATGTATGAGAAATCTCACTCCAATCGTCCGTGACTTGTAAAACTCATAGTAGTCTCCCCTTAATTCGTTTGATATGACGTTCTTAGAAATTACGCGATCGTCTTGAAGCTGAGTGACTTTATTTCAAGTTTTAACTTAAAACTTGAAAAACTTTTAAGGGTAAAAATTGAACCATTTGACAGCAATTAGGGTGGCAAATCCCTAAAATCTATGTAATGACCCAATTAAAGCATATGTATCTCCAGTTGATGTTGTTAAGAAATTCATGAAAAATCTAAATAGTCAAGACACTTGACTATTAACACTATTTTGATTATTTACTTGACTTTAAGCGAATATTGTGAAGTTATAAAATTATGGAGTTTTTCAATTGATTACAATCATAAATTATCAGTATAAATTTTTAATGTTATTTTCTAATTGACATATCCAAATTTATCAACTATAAACTCTGAATTTTCTATGTGAGTCTGGAATTCCATGACAATTGTACCCTACACTGAGAAAAAGAAGCAAATATTCATTTACTTGTGAGAAGCATTCATTTTTTCAAAATCGTATTTCTCCAATCGAGTCATTCCCAGACGAGTCTGATTAGGTTTCAATTATGACAATCATGTTGCTCCAGAGGATGACTATGTTGCACATGACCTTGGATGAACTTCTTCAATAATTATTCATTTTTACTAAATTTCTTATTTTCTACACTGTTAAAAATTGTCTGAATTTTCCGTGCTAAATTCTGGAAATTTTTATCGTGTTCCAATTCCACTGAAATTTCAGGAAATCTTAAGATTTATTTGTTTTAATTTCGAGTACCAAATTTTAATCACCAAAAGTCAATTTCAATTTTTATAATATAGAAAGATAAAGTCCATAGACATATCCACGTACAATGACGGTATCAAAGATACAGCCACCTGGACATTTTTTTTATTGCTAGATATGAAAATCTGAAAAAAGGCACTTATTTTTTTATTTGAAAAATGATGAAAAATTAATACAAATATATACAAAGGTAAAAATGATGGCGTAATAATGTATACGTTTTTTAACGGACTGTTACATCATAGTTTATAACGATTTAAAAAAATGAAAAAATACGTATCTCATATGCTTCATTAAATTTTCGTATTTCATAATTTCATTCAATAAATAAATTGCGTGTAGCGACCGTATTATTCATCACAGATATAATTTCAAGTTGACACGACACCCTAATCCATTAGAACGAAAAATCGATAATTCGTCGACAAGTAATTGTTGTTCCAACAGATTTTGAATGCCCCAATCAAAAATCGTTCTCTGAGTTAATATCACGATACAAGACGATATTGACAGCCAATTCAAACATCTAGGGTAAACTGCCCAGTAGATGGACCCCTAAGAAAACCGCCCAGTAGACGGACGTTTATTTTTTAGCAATTGAAAAAAAAAAATTGATCGAAAAAAAATCGTCACTCAGGGGTTAAGAATCACAACAGTTAGTGAAATTTCAAAGCAACAATTCACATTTCAGTATTTTTTTGCGTGATTTCCTGTCCAAAAGCAGCTCGTCCATCTATAGGGCAGTGCCCATCTACTGGGTAGCTTACCCTAAACTACGCTGTCTCGTGCAAGTTTATTAATCAATTTATTGGATCCTCCGTAATCTCAACTTTAAATCAAACGACAACACAATTTCCTTCCGGCAATCGGCGAGGGGACGCCTTAATCATCCGCTGTGAAGTTGTAGTTTTCCCTCACCCACATAAACCACCTGAAGTTGGGCGCAGTCGTTGCACCGCAGTTTCAACAATGGCGGACTTTAACGATACGAATTCTCACGAAATGACAGAAAACAATATTCCAAAACGTTGTAACAATCAGTGGGTGCGATTAAATGTTGGTGGAACGTATTTCTTAACGGCAAAGACAACACTAGCGAGAGATCCAAACTCATTTTTATATCGATTATGCCAGGAGGACTCGGACCTTATCTCGGACAGGGTTAGTTGACATCAATTTTCACCCGCGTGATTTAAATTTTTCTGGCTTTTTATTGTTTATAAAATTCAGAATGTTTTCGTTTCAAAATATTTCGAATCTGGAGGGTGACTGAAATGTTCTCCTATAAAATAATTACCTGATCGTCCCTGTTAAACTGTTTTACACAGTTGCAACATTGAGAGCAATGCTACTGTTTCGAATAACCTCAATTCCTTGTTGTCATGGTCTTCTGCTGATTTTCAGGACGAAACTGGTGCGTATCTCATCGACAGAGATCCGACCTATTTCAGCCCAGTACTCAATTACCTTCGCCATGGTAAACTAGTGATAAACAAAGACTTAGCTGAGGAGGGGGTCCTCGAGGAGGCTGAATTCTACAATATCACAGAGCTCATTAGACTTGTTAATGAGAGAATCTTACTCAGGGACACGAGACCAACGAGGGACTCGAAGAAACATGTTTATCGGGTACTACAGTGTCATGAGGATGAAATTACGCAGATGGTGTCGACTATGTCGGACGGATGGAAATTTGAACAGGTACAATGTTGTTCGAATCATTAAACAAACATCTGATTTTTAGTCATGAAATGTTAAGGGTATTTGACGAAGTTGCAAAAATCCAACGAAAATTCTTGAAAACAAGACGAATAGTTTGACAAAAAAAATTGAAATCGGTTGAGTAGTTTTTGAGATATGTAAGAAAATAGATTTAGATACAAACTTGGATATCTCCTAAACTAACCATTCAATTTAGCTCATCTTCAAAATGAAAAATTCTGGCACTAAGAGGAAACCTCGTGCCAAGTTTAAAGTTGATATGTCGCTTTTTGCAAAAGTGAGAGTGCAAACAAGGATTTTGAGCGAAAAACCGACGAATGGATATATCTCGAAAACTTTGTATGAAAGGGGATGATTGATTGAAATAAGAGACATCGAGACAATTATTTTGAAAAAAAAAAATTGAAATCGGTTGAGTAGTTTTTGAGATGTTCAAGAAAATAGAGTTAGATAAAAACTTGAATATCTCCTTTATTAGCAACAATTACTATACTCGCTTGTAAAAAAAAGGCAATTGTCCACTTGTTTCTAATGAAAACAATGCTCTGCATTTCAGCTCATCAACATTGGATCTCAATACAATTATGGAAACGACGATCACGCTGAATTCCTGTGCGTCGTGAGCCGTGAATATGGAGCAAGTCACTTGGGCAGCAAGGAGCAGGAGTCCACCGATCGTGTTAAGGTACCCATTAATCATTCGCATCCAGCTCACTCCGGTCCAAGTAGTCGTGAATAATTGGAACCCATTTCATTAATCCCCCTCACCCCTTAATTCTTAATCAATTATTAATCCATTCGTTGATATCACAACCGACGTAACATGGGATGATCTTTTGTGTACACTTAATTTTCTTATAATATTAGCTATCACCAAGGCACAAATGCTCAGTATTATATTCATTGAATATCGTTACTAAAAAACCTTATGATATTTGTAACAATTTAACAACTGTATTTTAACTCAAAGAAGCCAAAGAGGTGATCAATACCATTCATTCAGTCGTAGATAAGTCGATTTTCCCGTGCTTGCGAGGGTGACACTGGCATTTTTTTTAATTTCAATTTTTTCGAATCCATATTTTTGAAATTTTTCTTTCGCATGAGCATGGTTGCATTCACTCACTTATATAATTTGTGTGTAACGTAATTTTATTGTTATATTGATAGTATTGTATCATTAGCGATTATTATTATCATTATATTATTACGATTATTGTAAGCGCATGCTGCTCAGTGAATAAAGAACTTTATTTAATCTTTTCCATTGGTTTGGTTTTACTTTATTTTTCCCGGATTATTTCCTGCATGGGAATATTTTTTTATTCACGTTGCATGAAATTTTGGTGGAGAGTTATTGGCAATTTAATTACTTACACATAAAAAGTGAGATGTAGGGATTATTCAGTTGTGAAGTGGGAAATCGAAGCAAGTCGATTTTTACATTTTGTTGAATATTCAGTTTCTTTGATGATTAGTATTTGTTGGGGACAGTGTCAGATAATTTTCGATGAAAATTATTTTCATCAACAAAAGTGTTGATATTCTTTTTTGAGAGCGGAAAAAAATGTATAGTTTCCAGAACCAAGTCACTTTTTTTGGCAGGATTTTAAAAGGTAACGGACCCCTTGAGCCTATGTGAAATTTATAATAGTGTTTTCTCCCATAATTGTTGGTTTCTATGAATAAAAAGACTTCGTTCTTAGAGTTAGAAACTTATTGAGCGATTTTTGATATATCATTGGAGTAGAAATGTGAGTGACAAGTATGACCGGTCAAGTTCCGTCATGACCGGTAATTACTGCATCGAGAATTGACCATATCGTCAGAGAAAGAAATAATAATTGGCCATAAGCATGAAATGACCGCATACATTTTTACTGGAGATGCAAAATGACGGTAATTTTTTACATGCGTCAAGTCAGCCGTAAATTCATCGTTTTCTGATCATTTCTGACTTGACGTATACCTCGTGATGCAAACTGACCGGGCAACTTACCCAATTGTCAATCTTTTTTTTTCGTTGTCATTTATGCTGAAAAATCGTCTATCTAGATGTAATCTAACCGTTATTTTTATGCTCGGTATTTTTTGTTTAGTTTCTTCATGAATTTTTTTAGAAATTTGAATAAAATTATGAATAACGCCGAAACGGAAATAGAAAATTTAGTGAATTTTACCGTAGTATGGAATTGCAAAAATGAAAAGTGTTGTAGCACTTTTCTTATTTATGACACGGAGAGAAATATTCAATTAAAATTAAGTATCTTTTTCGTAATTCCGGAGCGAAATGTGGTTGTAATTTTTGTCTGAATCTCCTGTGAAAAATTACGATACCGCCACTTAAATTTTCTGAGTCGATTCCGTAATCGGTGAGTGAATTGCCCGTTCCGTAATTTTTACTGAACATTTCTCTCCATGTATTATCACAGAATCTATACAGCTCAATTATATAAAAACAGGCGTACAAAATTTTTCATTGAATGACTGATGTCGTAAATCTGCTCATTTCAGAACTTATTAAAAAACTCTGAAACATATGGTGCACAAAGCAGACTATCTGTTACTAAAATTTGGAGAGCGCTGGGGTCCAAGGCTCAGCTCTATCTAGATGTAAAATAACCGTCAAGATTTTCTTTGGTCATTTTTGTGACGCGAAATTCCGTCACTTTTTTTCTCACCAAAAATGGTCAATAATTGGCCTTCGGTCAGTGACGTGTAATTTACGTGTAAAACAACGATAAATGACCGGTCAGTTTTGCCGTTACATCACTCCTTTCAAATATCACTGCGATCTCCCGTTGAAAAATTAATAATTATGGACAGGAGGATAATTCTAAAATTCAACACAGGCAAGGGAGTTCGTTACTACTTGAGATCTTCATGGTTTTAGTGAATATCGTGCTGAGGATAAAAAACTGGTGACTTAATTTCATAAGACAAATGCCTCAAATTCCGTAACAAATTCCTACTGCTTTCAAGTAAGAGATCATTCACTCAACATTAATCGAGCCAAGGTGACAGGTGATGGACTTCACATAACAAAGAATTTATAAACATGAGTATACTAATTGTAGAACTGCAATGGTTTTCAACTCAAGAACGTGAATGTTAATTGGGCAAGCCCAATGTTCTTTATTCAAGAACTTTAACATTCTTTTTTTAAGAATATGGGTCATAAAGTTTTATATTAGAGTTATTTAAGAATAATATGGGGGTCATTTGATCCTGATATGACCCCCATATGACCCCTATATGATCCTTATGTGACCCTCATTCTGACCCTTATGACCCTAAATTTCACAGGAAATCCTATTGAAAATCTTATAGGATATCCTATAGAAAATCCTATGAGACATCCTGTAGGAAATCCAATAGGAACAATCCGATAGGGAATCCCATAAGAAATCCTATAGAAAATGTTCGAATTCTCCGTAGAATTTTTTCATAACTGAATTTATTATACGAAATTATCATTTTGTCAAATCAGTCATCTTATTCTTTATTGAAGGTGAGTAGCAACTTCCCTGGTGTGAAATAATCAGAGTCATTAATATGAAATAACAAACTAGGTCTAGTTACGTCGGTATTGATTGAATACAAATTTTCACCAGTGTTAAACAAATGTGTGAAGTAAAATTGGAAATTTTTACGATTGGTTTCCAGGTCCTCCAGCAGAAGGGTTCACGTATGTAATGCGTTTATCAAATGAAATAATTTAATAAACATCCTGCGAATATCACCATCCGTGCAGCACCCACGATGAAGACTGTTTTGTGTTGTTTCTATTTTTTAATTTATCACGAAAGATGTTTTAATTAAAGGAAAAATGACAACCTCTCAAGGTAAGATTATTTACGTTCTGTATAAAGAGATTAAGTCACTTGTTAGTAATTTTTTGATGACGCGTGCTTTTTTCATCAAATTCATTAATTTAAACGCGTAGAATGAACAGGAACTCGCACCTGCCTTCGACCAATTGCGGTCCACATCGGAAAATCAAAGCGAAAATTATGAATTTACATTGACAAACGTAATTAGTGAATTTTCGAGGAATATAAAATTTTCTATGATAATAATATGAACGAGAAAATTCACGAGTTTTCAGTTTTACTTCTCTGGCAACTGTAAGAATTTATCTCCATTCGGTTTTCTATGATATTTTTAGAAGAAAATATGTACAAACTCGAATTATACTTTAATTCCACGTCTATTATCGTATTGAAGGGAAATAACTTACTCGCACTGCCGCTAAGAAACTTTATGAAAGGAAAATAATAAGAACAAGTGTAATAATGACGCGCAATCAAACGTGTAGAAACATGAACATGTTTCAATACCTAGAAACTTAATCGTACGATTTTTAATGTGAGAAATACTTACGATAAGCCAAGATCGACGATTTCAATATTCTGTATACAATGATGAACACTCACAGAGTAGGTAATCATTAATTAGGTGTTATCTGTAAAAATTTCACAACAGCATTGGGACAAACTAAACAGTTAGAGGGATTAAACCCTTGTTTATAATAAAAATAATGTTCCCAAATGTATTTTTCATTTTTTTGGAGATGTGAAACATGTCCAGGAAAGATTATTTCAGGAATGGATTGATAAAAGGTAACAGAACAGAACAGTCAGTCTTTCACATCTTGTTAAAGTAGCTCTACCGTTACCTAAAGTTTAAAGATAATGAAAAACTTCGATCTCCAGAAAACTCGATTAGATTCGAAATCGCTTTTTTTTCTCAATTTAATGATCGATTTAATGATTGATTTAATGATTGATTTGATTTTTTGAAGAAAAAATGTTGACAAATCAGAATTCTACTAGGCGTTTTATGTGAAAATCAACATTTTCATTATGATTGTAGATTAAAATATTTTTTTTTTTCATTAGATGTAAATAATCGAAAATAGAGTAAACAAGTTCCATTATTCATTTATGGAAAAGGAATGTTCAAAAAATGTTTAAACTCAAAAACTGAAAAAAAATCTTTAAAAAAACTACAAATATGCTAATTCATAGCGCAACCCGATGAATTTTTCTCAATGAGTAACATTAGGTTGAAATTACCAGACATTTTTTCCAGAAATTTAATCCTCTCCAAAAAAGTTTCTTTTCCATTTTTCCCTACACTGAGAGAAAAAGAAATATTTTCTCAAACAAGTCTTATTTCAACAAAAAAAAACGTTAGTTGGAAATTACCACAAAAATTAATAAAATCTAGTGCTGATCATCTGAAAACTGTTCTGACATGAAAAATTTTTCAGACAAGCGATTATTCATCTTGAGACTTTTAAATTCGAGTCAAACAATTTGTTTTTTGGTAATTTTCAAACAAGAATTGTTTAAGAACTTATTCGTTTTTGTAGAACCTTAATTCCTGAGATGAATGAATACTCAATGAAAATTAAAAGCCGACTTCCTACGTGACTGCTCTCGTTCCCGTTAGTTTAAATTTTTTTAATTTTCCGTTGTCGCAAGATACTTATCAATAAAACGTTCATTATCATGGGAAAATGATTGGATAGATATTAGGTTGTCAATTTTCATAGGCCTATATGAATGAACCCTTGGACGGTAGGAAGGTATGGATTAAGAGAAAAAGAGAAGTGATAGCGTTAGGAAAAATCTACAATAATGGAGTATAAATTAAGTGCCAGATTATGAATTTTCATCAAAATCCATGATTGAGCCCAGTACAAATATCATCCGTGGCTTCACAATTAACGTTTTTTATCATTCATTGATTTTTGTTCTTTGTATAAAAAATGCCATAAAGAGTGCTTGCCATCATCGACGAACCTAGGAGTGAAGTAATTAAACGTAATGAATTTAACATCATCTCCGTAATTAATTACCTGAGGGAAAAAATGTGGAGAAACTTTTCTTGTTGGAAATTTTTTCATCAACAAAAAACGTTTTCTCATCTTTTCTCCGAAACCCACTGATTCCTGTGATGAATAAAAATTAAATTATCATAATACATTTGAGGTATTACGTTTTATCACTTCACCCCATAATTATTATGGATTAGTGCAATAATCTGGCGTGTTATGCATAAGTGAAATAATCCTCCGATCACACACATCTCTAAGTCGTTCATTTTAGCTCAAAACAATATGTGTGGGTAATGTTAGTAATTAACTGTCTAATGTAACAAACCAAAATGAATTATTCACGTCTCAAAAAAATCGGTAATTATAATTAACGATAATTTAACGAGAATATAAAAAATTAGGTGCATGTCATTTTTCGAAATTCGAGAAAATTTGTAATTTCATAGACAAATTTCTAAAATTCATTAATACGAAAAAATCATTTTTTTAATATAAAAAAAATGAAAGAACATTGCAATCACTAGGTCGTGGTATACGTTATTTTTACACGAGTATTGAGACATACAATTTTAATACGAAAAATGTAATGATAAGACGACGATAATTAGGAAGAAACTCAAATTAAATTTTAGGGTATTCGATTTTTAAATTGTATCGAAATTTAATGAAATAATTCTCTCCGTATCGTTTCAATCTGAAGGGTGGATAGATTAGAGCTGATATCACCTTCTTCTAATTATCTATGAACACAGATGAATAAAAATATTTACTCAACGTAAACGTACTCACCCCGTAATTCAAGTGGCACACAAATGGCGATATTAATTGTGGAATGTTTCGAATTTTTGGATTACTATATCTTGAGTCCAGTAGCAAGGCGGTGAAACAGGGTACGTTAACTCTAAACTTTAAAAAATGTTTTTGTGATACCTGTCCAAAAAGTGCTCTTTTCGCGTAATTTCGTGAACTTTACGCGTGCGTGCGTAAAGTTCACGAGAATGCGTACAGTGAATTCTCGAAATTCTCCTTACGCACGCTCGTGAACTTTATAAAATCGTATCCAAAAACAATCACTTTACCCCCAGTACCATTCCGAACAGTGAACTCGGTAGGTATCACAAAAAAGATGTGTTACACGTGCGTACAAAAAAGTGGAACTTTACGCACTAGTAACACAGTATACTATTGTCTCTCAAGAAATAGTTTCGTAATTGTAGAAATTTGTCCAAATTCAAAGTTTTACCATAAACCGATTTCGTAAAAAAAAAATTTCCATGAATTTCCCTCGAAGGAAATGTAAAAAAAATTAAGTGTTTTCAAAACGTAATTCAAAAAGTGTTGATGATCTATGATTTTTTTCACATCCTGTTACACCACTGCGCTGCCAAATTACCTTACAAAGTATGAAAAATAATTTCCCTCGTTTTGTACTAATGTTGGGTTGGACTAGGTATACCAAGAGAGATACTAAATGAGTAAATTTAAAAAAAATGATGAGTAAATTTAAAAAGAGGATGTACACACGTTCACAAGAGTAACCATTGTATCAAAGAAAATCAATTTTCAGCAGCTATTCTCAGAGGAACAATAATAAAAGTAATGTGAACAAGCAATGGACGGCAGATGCATAGTCATAGATTTTATAATTAGGAAATGTGTTGTGTACAATATGTTATACTCTAACGAAAAGTAAGGGTGTATATGAAGAAATTTTAATTGTTTGTATAAGTTGTGATTTTAAAGACTAAATAAAGACTTTATTGTACAATCTTTTGGACCACTTAAGTGACTACCATTTCTTGCACTTTGTTAGAAAAAAAACATGTTCTCTTAATAAAGCTTAACGTACGCTCGTTTTATATACAGTCCGATACAAAATACATGAAAAAAATTATGTATTTAGGAAAAACTGCAGTCGTTAAATGGGAGTCGGTGGATTCAGGGCATACTGGCGATGGTTTTCAGGGGCTGATCGAGGTACTTGGCGAGTGCCTGTGCTTTTTCCCTGAGGAGACCAAAGCCAACGTTTTCCTTGGCGTAGAGACATAGCAGGAGGTTTGCTACTTCTGTTATGACAACTTTTCCCTCCTGAAATTCAACGATTTCGTCATGAATGAAGGTTCTCCATTGTGTAATGACTCGTTTTGTTCAGAAAATGGTGTATTGGTATTAAGGTATATCCCTAGAAAACACGTTTTTCTTAAGGTATTTATGGCGGGGTGGGCATGTAGGAGGTGATACGGAGGGAAATCTATTGTTCTCTCGCAGAAAACCAATTGCTGACAAAAAAAAAGATATGTCAATGACAAATTTTCAATCTATTTCGACCATTTTTATGTTCAAAATATTTTTATAATAACTTTTCTATTTTTTTCCCACATATTTTAAGGGGAGACTACTATGCGTTTTAAAAGTCGCAGGCTATTGACATGCGACTTCCCATACATGGAAGATCGGTTGTATATGTCTAAAAATGAATAATTAGTGCAAAAAAATTAATTGTATATTGTTCGTTTGCCCCGCAGACGCTTAAAATTTTAAAGATAATCCAGGGCCTTCAATTTTTGAGCTAGAGGCTTTTTTTCAAAATTCATTTGTTCATGATCTATGGCGAATAAAGTAAAACGGATGCTTAACTTTATTCTTTGGAGTGTAACGAACTTTAAAAAAAAAAAAATCGTATGAAAACTCGGCGCAACGAGCATTTTGAAGGTAAACACAGAAAAAAATGAAGTTTTTCATGATTATACGGTATAAAATCGATCGGTTCCGCGATTTTCCCTAGTTATTCCCATATTTTGTTATATATCGCAAACTGTTCAATGGATCCCAAGGCCCAGCGAAGACTTTTAAATTTCACTGGGGTATCCCCTTGACGCATCTATATTTCGCCGTTCATTTTCCCATCAGGATAACTGAAAAAGCCATATAATATGAATTTCAAATTTATTTCTCTTATATAAATAGGAGGTGTCACACGTTCATTCCTGAATGTCTGGAAGAGAAATCGCATACATGATGATGATGATACTGATTTGATTAATAATGTTGATCATATTGATGATTTTGGTAATGTTGGTGTAGATCTACGGAGAGATGTTTTTAATCACGGACAATTATATGTTGCTTTTTCGAGAGTTCGATCATGAGATGCATTGAAAGTTTTTATAAGACAACAACGAAAAAACGCCAAAGTCAAAAATTATGTCTGCAAAGAGTTATATCTTTCGGTAAATGATATATATTGATATATATATTTATATGCCTGTATAAAAGCAACCGACTTCATCGTATTTAGTATCCAGATATTCATGGTTCTCCATCGATAACGCCCGTATAAATCAACATTGAATTGTCTGATCTTCGATAGCAACATCATTTCCAACAAAACATGTGTTGATTCTCAATTGAAGTTTTCATAGATTTCGACGTATCTCCGACTGATTGTCGATGGAAATTTCCATCCCTTTTTAATAAAAAATAATTCATAGATTTTTAAAAGAAGTTTCCATCATTTCCCACGAATTTCTCCTTAGTATTACTATAAAAATGTGCATACGAGAAATGACATATTCATTCAAATCAACTTACAATATTAACGTGATGAATCATATAAAGTCAATCATCGTTATAGAAATACGGGAAAATACATACATTGGGATTCATTTGGAGGCCTACTACCAATGAAATTGGTAGAAATGAAAATGGGAGAGAAAAAAATATGTGGAGAGTAGCAGTCATATGTAATCTGTCAAATTGCTTCTGTCACGCTGCTTGTTTTGTTGAAATTTATAAAAAAATTCGAGAATTTTGTACGCACATACGGACGTACACACAGACATGTTCTAAAAACATCATATCTCGATGTATCATGACATTCTAAGTCATTTCCAAGCAAAATTAGCAAATCGAAAAATCGACCGATTACAATGCTTCCATTCGGAAGCAAAAAATAGTTAATAAAAAAATGTTTGTTTACATGAATTGCGTCAACCAGTTGTTTTTCGCTTGTTTCATTTTGCCCCTCTCCCTTGGGTTTCTAGTAGCAATAAAAAAAAATCAAATGCTCACCAAACAGTCCATGAGAACAAACTGCAGCTCGTCCTCTTTGAACGCATTTCTCCCATTCTTCTCATACGCCGACCAAATATTACTGGTTATAGCAGCTGTAACTCTAGCATCTTTATCCCCATACCCACTGTACGCCAGGAGTCCTCCATCTCGGCTGAGTAATCTGTCACGGAATGCATCATGAGCAAAACATTGACCAAAAACAACAACAATAAATTAACCACGTCAGCCGTCAACATTTCGCGAAAAAATAGAATCTCACAGAGTATTTTCAACACCCCCGGTGTTGGCCTGGCTCAGGACCTGAGTTAGAGCCCTCGGTTTCAGCATTTTCTTCCGTCAAAACACTTTGTCATAGTAATTAACCCAAAAATTGACAATTGAGGCTATGACACACGGTATCACTCAGTTATTTCCACGATGATACCAGATGATACTCCGATACTTCCTTCAACTAGGGATGGACGATATTTGTCAATTAATTGAAAACATCGATTTTTCATACCCAAACATCGATGTTTTCAACGACCGATTAATCGATTTTCGATTCGATTCTTTTCGTCAAACCGATGTTTTTGAATAAGCAAACCAAAATTTCTCTTTTTTTTTATCGAATAGTAATGTTGATTCATTGAAAATAAAAAAATTATAATTTATCTGCAATCAGCAGTAATTATTTTCTAGAGTAGGGGTAGTTGGGGGAAAACGGACACTTGACTTTTTTTTAAATGTTAATGAGGGGTTGAAATGTTGATGAAATTCAATCATTTTTTTTCAATACAAAGAAGAATTCTTTCTCTTTGAGACGAGCCTAAACTGAGCTCAATTGATAAATTTGTTTCTGAATTATGAATAATTATTTTAAAAAAGTCTAAAGTGTCCATTTTACCCCACCCTCCCCTATGTACGTTATAAATGGTAAGTGAACAAGTTCAATCGTCTATTGTTTTTTTTTATTTCAATTTTAAAAATATTCAATATATGTTTTTCAATTAATAAACAAAAACCTTGTTTCGAGATTCAAAATTTAACTCTCCAGCAGTATGTATCATTGAAACGTAAGTTCCGGGGGTTGTATTTTTAAGTGTAGATATTTTTTTTAATGAGAAAAAAAATGATAAAAAAAATTTTTTTTTTCTTGTGTAATGAGAAAAAACATCGATTTTTTAATACTAGAAAAGGGCATGCGCTTCGCGCTTATTGTTTTCCATGGGTGCCAGAATAGTAAAACCTCACCGTTTCTCACTTTCATTAATTTTTATCTCAATAATAATGCAGGAAAAATAAATGATTTCAACAAAGTTTTTTACAATCCGAATTTAATTGTTGAATAATTTATTCGGAATCGTCATAATCCTTTTCATCTTCTGCTTCGTTTCTCTCCTGCTTTTTGCGTTCTATTGTTGTGTTTATTTTTGGGAATGTATTATGTACTATATACATATATACTATTCGATATATATTTTTTTGACAGAACTATATTACATTTTTTTATTGTTAAAAAAATTACAGTATAAAACATGTATGTATAGTATATATAGTATATATATTATATCATATATACATATATACTATGTTATAAATGTATTTTTTTATTACAGTAAGAAATGAATTTCTCTTTTTGTACAATTCGTGGAGGGTGGGGTAATATGGACACGTGGGATAAAAGAGACACTCAAAGAATTTAGAAAAAAAAAATTTTTTTTTTCAAAATTTAAATTTATTAAAATTGTTTCATTGGGCAATCTAGACACCTGATAAATCCATAGGTATAGGATGGACTAAAATAAAGACCCGAAAAAGTTGATCCTATTCAAAAAGTCAAAAAAAATTTCAACAGGCATTTTCCAACAGAATCGTATGGGTATTTTTTATAGGGAGAAATTCGAGTTGGAAGAGATATTAACAAATAAACTCCAACTCTATTAAATTTTACATTGAAGTTTGAAACATAGAGTACCTAGCTTTGGATTTCCTGTTTTACTATTGAAATAACTTCGAAATTATTTATTTTTTCAATTTGAGAATCGCAGTCATGACTAGTGTTTCTGAAATTGAATAATATTATTGAAACATAAGAAATTGAGGAAGAAATCAAGGTGTCCACTTTACCCCGTTTTTGCTTTACTTTGCAACTCCTACGACGCAGTCTTATGATAATGTGTTTGTTTTTATAATCATTAAATGAACTCGAAACAGTAGATTTGATCAAATTCAACTCATATTACTTAAATGTGGTGTCCATATTGCCCCACCTACTTTTGTTCCCCTACTGTGAACAAAAGATGACGGTACATAAAAACTATATGAGGTATTCCATGCCAAATGAGTCAACGGCTAACCCTTACCCTCTTGAAAATTGATGACGATTTTTTCTACGATTATGGGGCTTGAAAAACTATCTCTCAAATTTTTTCAGATTTTTTTGACAGCCCAGTTCGGAAATATGATTTTTTTCAAATTGTTCCGTTTTTTTACAATAATAACTCGAGTTCTACTCATCTGATTTCGATTTATTGGGGGCAAAATTTTCCTTTTTTTCACCATCTATAAGAATGTTTTTTTTAAAATTATTTTCCAATCTTTAAATGCTGGAAATAACGAATTTTCGAAAAAAAAAAGTTGAAAAACTTGAATTTTGCCAATTACGTCACGGTTGATTATTTGAATTTTTTTTTCAGTAACTTTATAATGAAAACGAAAATTTTGAGCCGTCATACATGTTGGGTTCCATCCAGGATCTATTTTTTTTTTTTATTGTTTCTTTTTAAAATTGCGAAAATTTGGTGAAAACACCTTAAAACGACTAATTATGTATCGAATAAATATGTAATATATAGGTATATGTTTAAATTTACTTCATACTGTTTATAATCAAAGTCAACCAATGACATTTTGGGATATTTTGACCGAATTCGCGGAATTTTGAGAATAAAAAATTAAAAATAAAATAGATCTAAGACGAAACGCGACATATATAACGGCTCAAAATTTTTGTTTTGATTATAGGAATTACTGAACAAAAATTAAAATAATCAATTGTGACGTAATTAGCCAAATTCAAGTGTTTCACCTTTTTTTTCGAAAATTCGTTACTTCGAGCATCTAGAGATTGGAAAAAATTTGGACAAAAAACATTCTTACAGTTGGTGAAAAATGGAAAATTTTGATCCCTAATAAATCGAAATCGGATGAGTAGAGCTCGAGTTATTATTTTAAAAAACGAACAATTGGAAAAAAAAATATCTCCGAACTGGGCTGTCAAAAAAATCTTAAAAAATTTGAGAGATAGTTTTTCAAGCCCCCCAATCGTAGAAAAAATCGCTATCAATTTTCAAGAGGGTGGGGGTCAGCCGTTGACTCATTTGGCATGGAATACTTCATATATAGACATATATTACATTAATCGTTACACTAAATTTTTTAAAAGTGGAATCGATGTTATTTCCTGAAAAATCGATTGTTGTGAACATTTATGTTTTTAAAAAACATGAATTCTTCGATAATCGATGTTTTTTAAAACATCACCCATCCCTACCTCCAACAGAGAGTGAGACCAAAAAACCAGAGGACCAATCGCGTTCTGGTGGCGGCCACCTGTCGGAAGTACATTGGATTTTGCATGCGTACTCGCCATCTGCGCAGTTGAATCGCACCGAAGCCGATGAATACACGATTTGTGTATGTTTGCAGTAGTTTTTTTGGAGCGCCCGTAGTACTATATATTTGCGTATTCCGCAACGCCATACAAACGCGAATGCCAAGATAAATTTCGAAAAATGCCTCTAAGGGCAGTGAATCGGCTAATTTGAGGGAATTCGGATTCATCAGGATCCGGAAATCATCCCGATGGGATGAATACAAAGGTGAGCATTTTTTTAATTGTGCACGCTATCTCGAAAAACTCATCTTATCTCTGCAAGTATCACAGGAGGTTTTTTTTTAATCATCATTTTTTGGGGTTTCCCAGCATTTTTTGGGAGTGGAGGAAGTGTAAATAGGACAAATGGCAGGGGAATTCGACGATGTTGAGGGGTTTGCGGTGGATTTTGAGGATGACATCGCAGGACTCAATGAAAAATTATTGGAGTTATTGAAAAATCCCCCGAAAAGTGGCCAGAATGCACTCTCAGGGACGAATTCGTCGACTGACAATGATGCTGATTGCCAAGTTGAAAATAATTTTTATGAAAATTCAGGGATTGTACACTGCAAGTGTGCTATCGAGTGTGGCTTTGTTAGGGGAAGTCCCGTCCAGCCGAGAAGTTATCCTCAATCTTTACCGCCTATCGGAGTTTTTTGGGATATCGAAAATTGTCCGGTGAGTTATAAAGCTCTCTCGTGATTTTTTTGCTCCTGAAATTTTTTCATTTTAAATTGTTGGCTTTGTTATGGTGATTAGGTGCTGAGGGGAAGATCTGCTGCCGCTGTAGCCCAAGTCATACGAGATAAATTCTTTCATGGGTACAAAGAGGCTGAATTCATCGTTGTTTGTGATGTTAATAAGGAAAATAAACAAGTCATTCAGGAGTTGAATGATGCACAGGTAAAAAATCAGAGATTTTTTAGATCTAGTTAATTTTTTGCTTCCGAATGGAAGCTTTGTAATCGTTTAAATTTAAGATTTGGATTTTTTGTGGTATATCGACTCATTATGATCCAAAAAGTCCGACAATGCAATTTTTAGACCGCGTCTGTATGTATGTGTGTGGTAACGTTTTTCTTTAATTGTTCGCTAATGGATGGATGGGATTGAATTTTTTTTTTTCAAATGTAGTTTTTCAAAAATTTCATTTATCGATTACTTTTGTTTCCGAATAGAAGCTTTGTAATCGTTCATTTTTACGATCTTCTCATTTTGCTCGGGAATGATGTGGAATGTCATGAAACGTCAAGATGTGATGTTTTTAGAAAATGTGTGCATGTGCGGATTTTTCGGAATTTTTTTATAAATCTTCACGAAAAAAAAGTAAAGTCAATGCTAAAAATCTAAAATTTTGTGAAATAATTAGCATTGTTTGAAAGCTCATATGAGTGAAATTTCACCTAATCGATCAAGTAGTTTTTGAGATATAGCAATTTCTCGAAAATCTTTTTCGCTCAATATCTCAAAAAGTACGCGACTGAATTTAATTTTTTCGACATTAAAATATTCTTTATAATAATCTCGAGTGATAATATTTCCACTTAACCAGGAATAACTTGGTAGTAATGCACATTTTTCATTTTTGTCATAAAATCGGTGTAGGCACGATAACTCTTGAAAAATTAGAGGTAAAAAGCTGAAATTCGGTACAATTGTTACTCTTATGGTACTACAGGCTGGTATTGTGGAGAGGTAAAATCGGACTAGTAGTTTAGGAAATATTCAACTTTTTGTGAAAATATGTTTTGCTCAATATCTCCTAAACTACCGGTCAGATTGAAAATTTTTCTTTCAAAATATTCGTCTCGATGTCCTCTATCGACATCAATCAAAATACCAGCTTATACAAAGTTTTCGAGATATTCATGTTTTTCTAATTTTTTCATCTCAGAGTTGATTTGACGTTCCTCAATACACGTAGAAGTTGGAAATAGAATTCAAAATTTTGGGGAATAATTAATACCATTGAGTCACATTAGTGTGTAAAATTTTGGACTGATTGATTCAATACATTTTGGCATAGATCAATTTAACTGCAAACAGTTTTTGGCAAAAAATGAAACATCGTCATTCTATCAATAATTTTCGTATCTGTATGCCTTAAGAAGTCATCTACCATAAAATTATATTCTTTTTTGCTTCATATCATGGCAGTGTTTAATGCTGTGACAGACACAAATGGGTAGAGGATCGTACATTTTGAGGGTCGAATTCTGTAACGACAGGGATTTTTACAGTTTAGGAGCTTTAAGGGTCAGATGTTCTGAGAGTGAATTTTCTTTTTCATAATTACCAATTATGCTCTTACTATCCACCATGCAGGTGGTTAGGGATTAATAACATTGAACACATTTGGGAAAATTAAGACTCTTGAAAACATTTATAAACAAACAAACAAAGAAATGAAAATAGAATATCCATTAGTTTAGCAGGTGTGATTATAGATATACTATCTTTGGTATGAAGAATAATAAATTATTCCATAGTGTAAATACCATCATTGGAAAATTGAACAGTACGAAAGAGGGACACTGGAGAAGAATAATATTAGAAATAACAAATAACTGACCATTCAAACAAATGAAAATAACTATAAAAATAATAACGGAAATCGGCGTAGAAAAAAATATAGGAAATTTTCCAAGAAGGATTTTCAGGGAAATTTATCATAGAACCATTGCGACAGATCCATTCGGAAGCTTATTACCAATGAAATTAGTAGAAAGAGAAAGAAGCAAAAGACTAAGAACGAATAAAATAACGGTCTGTCGCTTCTGTCGAATAGGCTCGTGACCCTGTTTGTTTTGATTGTGCAATCATAATTTTTAGGGACACCTGCGTGATGTAAAATCCAGTGAAAATTGTGATATATTTTAGATTATGAAGGTGGAAAAACAATCGAGATAACGTGCGAAAGATAATCTATCCGGGCCTTAAACAATTGTTTTTATCGTTATCGTCAACAATGATCGGTCGCGCATACACACACACGCACATGCATACATACATCCGGACATGGTCTAAAAATAGCACATTCCAACTCCTGAAGCCAAAATTAGTTATCCTGACACAAAGAATTGGAAACTTGGGTTTTAACGAATACAATGCTTCCATTCGGAAGCAATAATTTACCTCTCGGCAATTATCAACTTCCCGTTTTTCAATCCAAACAAAACTTCTTTTTTGAAAATATATTTGTCTCCCAGTGTAGGCTCGAGATATTCATGAAGAATTAACAATAAATGAAATTTGACTCATCTTAATTTACTACTTCACTTCAGATTTTACTCGTTAGTTTAAAATTATTGTTATTACTTGCAGGTAAATTTGATTCATGTAGCAGCCACCTACAAGAACGCAGCTGACGAGAAATTGAAACAATCTATACGGAGATTCGCTGACATACACGGAAGTCCAGCTGCGATTATCCTGATTTCGAGTGATATAAATTTCGCTGCAGACCTGAGTGATCTCAGGCACCGTAAAAGAATACATGTTATTTTATTGCACAATGAAAATTCATCCGAGGCACTTATACACTGTGCCAACGAGCACTACAACTTTATGGAACTCATGGAGCCACTACCAACCAGAACGCCAGCCAAGGTATTTGAATGCCGCATTATGTTTTACATTAGAATGTTTGTAAAAAATCGCAATCACTCCAAAAAATTTCCCATTTATTTGAACTGATGAAGAGAATTATCTTCTTCATGTTGATGAGTATTTCAATCCACTGATACGAGGTAATTATTTCCACCAGAAATGTAGTAAAAATGATAAAAAGAATGATTTTCTTCATTTTTATGCGTATTCCAATCCGCTGGTACAAGGTGATTATTCATATAAGAAATGTAGTAGATCATTTGCACCGAATGTTGGCGTTAACATGAGTTTATGGACCTTCAGGTTTTAAATATCTGCATTATTTTCCTGAGTACCCCACGCTTTTCTTGGCAGTTGGATTCAGTATATTGTTTCACAATACCCTCTATTTTCATTATTATTTTCAGAGTCTTCGATAAGTCTTTTGAATTGTCAATTTGTAAATGAATCTCATAAAAGCCGACGTATAATAAAACAATTGTTTATTTCTTATCGATAAAAGTACACTGAGGGAAAAAAAATTTGATAGTACTCTATTAAGAAATTTATACATCGGAAATTTTCAAGAGAAAAGCATCTTAAACTGATTATAAGAAAAAAATACTTCCGTTAAGAGATTTTGTAATTGTCCGAAAATAGAGGGCAATTGGTTCAGAACAAGAAAGCGACTTCTCAAACAGAGTCAAGTGGTTTTTGCATTAAGGGGAGACTACTATGAGTTTTAAAAGTCATGGGTTATTGGAGTGAGACTTTTCATACGTTGAAGATCGATTATATAGATCTGAAAACGAATAATTAGTGCACAAAAAAAATTTTTTATTCTTCGTTTGCCCGAAAACGCTTAAAATGCTAAAAACAGTCCAGGGCCTCCAATTTTTGAGCTGCAAAAGATTTTGTTTTCAAAATTTTGGTAAAATGTGTGGAACAACAATTACGAGCCAGTTTTTTGGAATTCGACTCTTACACAGCTGATTTCGGTTTTTTTCATATAATAAAAAAATTCACTATTTGTGTAAAAAAATACAAAAAAAGTAAATTTAGCCATGTAAAAGGCGTTTAAAAAAAAATAGCTCGTAATTGTTATTCCACATATTTTTTTGAAAATTTTGAAAAATAAATCCTTCGTAGCTCAAAAATGNGACTTCTCAAACAGAGTCAAGTGGTTTTTGCATTAAGGGGAGACTACTATGAGTTTTAAAAGTCATGGGTTATTGGAGTGAGACTTTTCATACGTTGAAGATCGATTATATAGATCTGAAAACGAATAATTAGTGCACAAAAAAAATTTTTTATTCTTCGTTTGCCCGAAAACGCTTAAAATGCTAAAAACAGTCCAGGGCCTCCAATTTTTGAGCTGCAAAAGATTTTGTTTTCAAAATTTTGGTAAAATGTGTGGAACAACAATTACGAGCCAGTTTTTTGGAATTCGACTCTTACACAGCTGATTTCGGTTTTTTTCATATAATAAAAAAATTCACTATTTGTGTAAAAAAATACAAAAAAAGTAAATTTAGCCATGTAAAAGGCGTTTAAAAAAAAATAGCTCGTAATTGTTATTCCACATATTTTTTTGAAAATTTTGAAAAATAAATCCTTCGTAGCTCAAAAATGGGAGGCCCTGGACTTTTTTTGGCATTTTAAGCGTTTTCGGGCAAACGAACAATAAAAAAATTTTTTTTTGCACTAATTATCCGTTTTTAGATCTAAATAATCGATCTTCAACGCATGAAAAGTCTCACTCCAATAACCCACGACTTTTAAAACTCATAGTAGTCTCCCCTTAAAATAGTTTGACTTAATAAAATTCCTTTGCGTCATGTGCTGGGCAGTAGCAATAAAAATCCACAAAAATTAGAATAATTACATTGTATTACGTTTCGAATGCTCAAGGCATTCTATTGCTTCTTAGGTGCAATAGCTAGCAATAGCGCATTTATTAATTTTGTCTTCATGATTTCATTTAGAATAAAGAATAAAGGATAGAATAAAGTATGCATCTGAGGAGGAATGCTGCTGACCTGAACATGGCCCAATAAAACATAAAATTTAGAACGTCAATTGCAGTGCAATATTTTTTATTTGGGATTAAAAAACTATTGAATAAATTGATTCAAGTAGACTTGCTTCGAAAAATCACTTCGTTATCATAAACAAATTGTCCTTTGCACATGAAAAAATTCAGTAGAAAAACTTAGCGAATTCACTTGAAAATTCTACAGGAATTTTCTAGAAATTCTATTGACATTCTATTAAAATTCTAGGGAATTCTCGTTAAAATTCTGTTCGTTTTTCGCGCTCATTCTATGAGATATTTGATAATAAAAAGTCAATAGATTTCGATTTTTCTATATGAATATTCTTTTGGATTTTTTTCTATAAGAATACTTGGGCATGAATTTGAAGTTTTTTTACTCGGATCCTGTAATGCAAAACAAAACAAAATATAGCAGAAAAAACTTGGAAAATCCATGCCCAATAATTTTAGTAGAAAAAATCTCAAGGAAAAAATTCAAACAGAAAAATCGAAATTGATTAACTTTTTCCTAACAAATATCTAATAGAATCTGCCCAAAAAACAAATTGAATTTCATCGAGAATCCCCAAGACTTTTAATGGTATGCCCACAGGATTTCTAGAGAATTTCAATAGAATTTTCTAGCGAATTCGCTAAGGTTTTCTATTAAATTTTTTTTTTTTTTTTTTTTTATGCTTATTTTATATCGCTTCGAGTCTGATGAGACTATATGGCGATTGATCAAGACTTTAAAAATGGTTAGATCTCACCATTCTACCCGGCCAGGAATCGAACCTGGAACCTATCCGTTGTGAGGCAACGGCCTTAACCACTACGCCAGGCCACCGGGCTTTTCTATTAAATTAAAGCACAAAGTCTTTAACAGAAGTAAAATATTTTCTTCTTGAAAATTTTTAAACTGAGTTTCCTGATAGAATTGACCAGTCAGCTTTTTCCGTTACATCCCTATTTTAGATAAATAAAAAGCTTTCGAATAAAACCAAATCAAATAAAAATATTTATGATTGCAGGTTAGTGAGCCCTACGATCTTCTGATCAGCAACCTCCCCAAGGACAAAGGTCTGACATCCATAAGAAGACGTCTAAGGCGTCTCTCCGACAACTGTGGAGGTCGTGTAATCGGCATAAATTCAAACGCCGCGATAATACGTTTCAGCTCCCAGGATTCAGCCGACAGGTGAGAAACCCCATTCGAATAATTCCCGCACTTCTGCCCCCTTTTGGCCCCTGCCAATGAAATTCAACCAAAATCTCCGCGCTCGTGGATTCAGCCCACCGCAGGGTGGGGGCAAAGTATATAAATATGGGTCCATTTCTTCTCAGCCATCAGCAATGTAACGACAATCACTAATGGAACATCGTGCACGGATTTAATTTTGCTTAACGTACTAGCATTGCTGAAACAATTTTACGATTTTAAAGAGCACATTGGCACATGTAATTTTCTCGTAGAGTCATTACAGTTATTATTTTATTTATCAGTTAAATATTTCAGTTACAGTATTTATGTTGAAGATTTTTCGTACTTTGTTGATTATTTCTTTGTTACATTTTTCGTATTCAATGAATTGGAAGAGTGTGTGTTGCATGGGTGAGTCCAATTCCGTAACTAAGTGGTTTAAATATCATGAATAGACATCCAATATGAACCTTTGTTGAGTAGCTCCGGATTTTCTCGAGGGAGAGATCCTCGTCCCCATGAGATTCCGAGATATTTCTCAGAATCTATCTCATTAAAAAGTCGACTCATCTGTTCTTATATTTTATTATTGATATTTCTACATTTTGAATCCATCACCCATCGTTTTTATACACTTTTTTCCATCAATGTTCGAACGGTCGTTGACTCGGTTGTGGTCACACGAGGCGAATGAACGTTGAGGATGTTTGAAAACGCCTGGAGGTCACTGACAATAACAGATTCTTTCTCATTTCCTCTAGAGCACAAAAGCGCATGGATGGTGAGCCAGTTTTTGATGCAAAAATTACTGTGAGATTTCTCAAGGAGAAAGGCAACCGAAAAGCTCAAGGTAAAAACATCATTCTAAAAACTAGACTGACTCTGAAGCAAATCGATAAATTCTTATGGGGACTTTATTTTGGAAATCTCAATTCACTCTGTAGAAAAGTCCTCTTGAGACTTCCATTATCTCCCAGATTCAAAGATATTCATTATAAATTTTCATGAGAATTTCATTTTCGAAAGAATCAATGACCCGATAGATTAAATCAGCTGAACAAGTTTTTGGAGATTAAAAATTAAAAATTATAATCGATTTTGCGAAACGAAAAGCCCAAGATAATAACCACAAATCGAAGGGTAATTCGAATGTGTCAGTTATTCGTTGAATTTAAATTCTTTGTTGGAGTCAACACACTTGTTTTCTTATTGAGTGGGGATCCCTTTTATTCTCCCACTCGACTCTGTTTTCGGTCAGTATTCTGAGGACCCTTTGTTTTGTTTGTAGAAAGCAGCTCGACCCTTGATTTGACGAGTGAATCTGGAGCTGTTACCGGCTCACCTGTACAAATGTATAGCGCGAATTCGGCCATTGGTGTTAGGAGTTTGCCGGGCACATCACATTACAATTCATCGTCACCTGTTGTTGGAGGCTTCACGGGATGGAATGGCATGCATTGTGCTCCAGTTAATCATCATTCGGGGTAAGCAAAATTACGACTGATGCAAGTTCATTGATATTCCATTTTTTACTGTATTATCGTGGGGTTGAAAACGCTTTGCTCCAACATTGAGAAAAATATTTCTAATATCTGAAATATATCGACACCTTGAGGATATTCAAGTATTTTTTACAGTTTGGCACAGACCACGCTATAGATTCAACAATGTGAATAAATTTGTTACGATTCCGAACAAATTATTTTTATGGTGCAGCATTGATTGTTTGTAAATAATTTATATGAAATGCTCGTAATTTCCAAAAATTGCAATTTTTTAATTATTTCATCAATGTTCCTCCAAAGGTAAGTAAACTTTCTAGTTTTTTTCCGATTTTTAAAATGTTTTCTAATGGTTCAATATCGAGATTCAAATTTAGACCTGCAAAGTTTAAATAATAAAATAATTGTAGAATGTCGGGAAGCTTTAAATTTTTAAGTTTAAAATATTCTTGTGCTCAAGTATAATTTTGTCGCAAACGAACTCACTCAAATCGCGTAGAAGAATCTTCAATCTTCGAGCATTTATTGTTTTTGATTTTTTTATGCACTGCCGATGTTTCAACATGTAATATATCCATTATGTATGGAACGTGGAGGGATAGTGATAAATGAGAATTTATTCGAGTTCCGTGAAACGCAAACATTTGGAGAGTTAAAGATATCCAATTTTCTTTCACAGTTTCTTTCAGACCTCTCTATAGATTCAACCATTTTCAATCATCAATTTTGTCAATTGATTTGCGTGAAAAAAATTAAAAAAAAAATCATGAATATTCAGCGTCATTCAAGTTACATCTTGTACAGAATTATTATTTTTTTCAACATTCGTTGTTTTGAAAACTTTTGGAAACCTTATTTTTTAGGCATGAAATGGATTTCTGGTAAAATTCGAAATATAAATAAATTTGTTACGATTCGGAACAAATGATTTTTATGATGGAAAATTTATAGTTTATAAATAAATTCAAATTATTTCATCAATTTTCTTCCAAAAGTAAATTTTCTATTGTTTTTCAGATTTTTAAAATGTTTTCTAATAATTCAATATCGACATTCAAATTCAGATCTGCAATATTTAATTAATAAAATCATTGTAAAATGTCAGGAAACTTATGGTCAATGGTGATGTTGGTTGTCTTTTTTTATTTTGATAATCTGAAATATTTTCCAATTGCCATTCGGTTTTACATACGCCTGGAACCTCTAAAAATTATGATTATGTGATTCAAAAAATGTTGAAAAAAATTGAACATTTTCAAAAAGCATTTTCGAATAATCGTGGGAAATAAACCCAATAGATAGGAAATTGCAAATTAATAATCCACTGTATGCAATGGCTGCATGGTTATCATTTATCACAGTAGCCAATGGCTGTCAAATCGTTAGTTGCAATGATCAATTATCCATTTACAATTTTTTTCGTGGAAAAACCGCATTTGAAGAGTGGACGAATTCAAGATGTGAAAACACCGAACCTGAATTTTATTTCAGAATTTTCTTTCAACATTTGGTATTTTGCCATGAAGCCCTTACAGTATTTTTTTCACTTCTGTTAGTTTCGAATGACGAAAATCCGAGAACGAGTTCTAGAGTCATGGGTTGATTGTATAAATCCCCGGTGATTCGAACAATGACCCCGTTTGATCTTATCTGACGAAACTAAATAATTAAAATAGTATAAGCCTAACTTAAATTTTGAAAATGAAAATCTAAAATAAATTCTAAATGGAAGTTGATATGAATAAAAATGTTATGGTTGAGTTTCGTGCTCAATTGGCAGTCTAGTATTATTGATAATAATTAATTCCGAAGTAGCAAAATAACATAGAGTCTTACGAGAAAATAATTTTTTTCGAGATTAAAAAAATCTCAAAAAATTACAAAAAAATAAAATAAAAACTTTATGCCTGATACAAAAATGATCGTCACTGTCAAACTTTTGTGATAAAATTTTCTGCGTGCTCGAAATGTCATGTTATGTCGAAACACCCTAGTTCAACGTAAGACTGTTGTTTAAAAAAATAATTGAAGAAAGAATTTGATGGATCATTCTCTTGCACTCAGCAATGATGAATAATTTTTTTTGGCTTCTTGAATTTATTTTTTCTCATTACACTCAACGACTCAACTGGAGTTTATTCATCCTACTTTAATCCAGTTGTTTTAAATAGAAAATTATTGAAAAAACTCTAAGTAAGTGACAATCTCATACGAATCACTACATGTTTCAGAATTTACAAACATCAAATTTAAATAAATTCCTCAAGGATCAGCATTAATCAAATTACACTCTGAGGAAATACCTACTTCTCTTTTGGACATTCCCTCCCCAGAAATGAGTAATAGCAATTATTTAAACTTTTGGAAACTTTACTTTTGGCATGAAGTCGATTTTTGCTGAACGTCTAAATGTGAAAGAATTCCTTACCATCGCCAATATAATTTTCAGTGTTAAAAGTCCTTTTGTCATAAACCATCTACTAAAAAGTTCATAATCTGATCCCGCATTTTCTCCATATTATAAAAATTCCAATCGATTTCTGGTAATAAACATTTGATACTTAAAATTAAGACTCCGAAATTAAGGGTTATGAGGGTCAGAATAAGGGTCACGAGGGTCAAAATAAGGATTATGAGTGTCAGAATAAGGGTCACGAGGGTCAAAATAAGGGTTACAACGGTAAATTTAAGGATCTAAATAAGTATCACAAGGATCAGATTAAGGGTTACAAGGGTCAGATTAAAGATTCAAATGAAGGTCACAAGTGTCAGATTAAGGATCACAAAGGTTAGAATGAGGGTCCAAATAAAGGTCATGGGGGTCAGAAACTAAGGTTTACAAGGGTCAAAATAAGGGTCTCAATGTCACTTTATTGTAAAAATCCAAACCGACTTTTGATGATGAAAGTTTGGTGTTCGAATTTAAGACTCCATAATTAAGGGTCATGAGGGTCAAAATAAGGGTTATGAAAGTCAGAATACGGGTCACGAGGGTTAATATAAGGGCCACAAGGGTCAAAATAACGGTCACGAAGGTCAGATTAAGGGCCTACATAAGGGTAACAAGCGTAAGATTAAGGGTCTGAATAAGTGTCATAAGGATGAGATTAAGCGTTACAAGGGTCAGAGTATAGGTCCAAATGAGGGGCATGGGGGTCAAAAACCAAGGGTCAGAAACTAAAGGTCACCAGAGATCAAAATAAGGATTACGAGAGTTATAATGAGGGTCAGATTAAGGATCCAAATGAGGGTCACAAGGGGCATGCGGGGCAAAAACCAAGGGTCAGAAACTAAAGGTCACCAGAGATCAAAATAAGGATTACGAGAGTTATAATGAGGGTCAGATTAAGGATCCAAATGAGGGTCACAAGGGGCATGCGGGGCAAAAACCAAGGGTCAGAAACTAAAGGTCACCAGAGATCAAAATAAGGATTACGAGAGTTATAATGAGGGTCAGATTAAGGATCCAAATGAGGGTCACAAGGGGCATGCGGGGCAAAAACCAAGGGTCAGAAACTAAAGGTCACCAGAGATCAAAATAAGGATTACGAGAGTTATAATGAGGGTCAGATTAAGGATCCAAATGAGGGTCACAAGGGGCATGCGGGGCAAAAACCAAGGGTCAGAAACTAAGGGTTACCAGGGTCAACATAAGGGTCCAAATAAAGGTCATGAGGGTCAGAAACTAAGGGTTACAAGGGCCAAACTAAGGGGCTCAATATCTCTCTATATTTAAAAAATCCACAACTTTTGGTGCTCTAATTAAGCCTCTTCATTTCTGGCCCTTAATTTTATTAAGAGTCAGAAATGAAGGATCAAAATAAGGGTCACGAGGGGTATAAAGAGGGTTAGAATGAGGGTCACGAGGGTCAGAATAAGGATCATGAGGGTCATATGGGGGTTTTGGCGAGCGAAGCGAGCAGGAGGCGTAGCCTCCTAATCAAAAAATAAAAAACAAACATTTGTATTTAAGTCATGCTTCGTTACCCACTTCACTGCATATCCAATTAACTCTCAATCAACCAAAAAAAAAAACATTGATAAATTCCAGAGGGATGCCACCAGCCCCAATGTACGTAAACCGTTCCTACTCGAACACCGCTGACACAATGTACAACAGACCGCTCACAGAGCCCCCACGTGGTCACTCCCCGGTGGTCTGGCCAGTGGTGGGTCCCCAGTACGGTCGTTCCTGGGAGGATCCCTACAGGATGAACGCTCAAAAGCCCTTCAACAAGCGTTCCCAACTCCCCCCAAACCGAGACGCTACCCAAGCCACCTTATCCAGCACTCCAGAGGGCATGAGACGTATTCGTGGTGTCCACAGTACTCTCAACCACACAGCACCCGAGTGGAACATGCCACGACCCTCGTACTGTCCCCTGCCACCCTCGAGTGCCTTCAACAGCTCAACCTACTGTCCAAATGCCTACAAACGTGGCAGCTCGTCCCCCCTGTTCATGAATCAAGGCAGAGATCATTCAAATGGACAGTGGAATGGACAGGGTCAACACATTCAGCCCATGAGAAATGCAAAGACGCCATCGCCATATGGGAACTGTGGAATGCTCCCAATGGCTCAACCGTCTAATCGCACATCACCTTATCAACACAGTGAGTCTGAAGAAGAGGTCGAGAGGTTCTTCAACCCCATCAATAATCGGAACAATTGTCCTGTGGCTAATGTTGCCTACACACCCATCGAACTTCAAGTCACTAATTTGGATCAGAGCATGGAGCCCAAGGAAATGAAACGTATTTTGTCCTGCATTTTCATGGAGCACATTCACGTCATTCATGTCTCTGTGTTCATGCAGTCTGATGGGAATTTTGCTGCCAGTGTCAAGGTGCCATCGCTCCAGGAGGCTCAGTACGCTATTTCTCAGCTGCACAGGCGCAAGGTTGGGTACAAGAGGATATTGATATCATATGCACACACTGGGGGCCCGAACCCTCAGCTGGTGAGATCGCAGATTGTTATGCTACTGCAGGAAGTCCCTGGGCACAAATTACCACTCTTCAAGTTCAGGGAGATGTACGAGAGTCGGTTTATGATATCTATTAGTGTCTCGGAGCTGTATAAGATGAAGGATGTCTGCATTGTTACGGAGGATCCCAGTGGGAGGATGGTAGCACTCAATCCTGATCATAGGAATACGCCGTCTCCTTGTCTTGGGAGTGTTACGCAGGTAATGTTTTCATGGGTTTTACGAGGATCTGGGGATTATTGTTGGACTGCGCTGATTGAGGTAGGGGAGAGTGGGGCAAAATGAAACAGTCGAAAGACGACAGTTTGACGCAATTCAAGCAAACAAATTTTTCCTATTAAATTTTTTTTTATTTACTTTTGTTTATCAACTTTTTTTAATTCTTTAGAGTACTGATGAAAATAATAATTTTCCATTCAGTAGAATGGAAAATTATTTCAGGAATACATAAGAATAAAAAAAAGTTAATAAACAAAAGTTGATGAAAAAAAAAAATTTAGTAAAAAAAATTTGTGCTTGAATTGCGTCAAACGGTCGTTCTTCGACTATTTCATTTTGCATCACTCTCCCGTATATAAATTTGAAAAATTCTCAATTTCACCATTCTCTTGCAACTATTGCTAATCTATAATTTCTCTAAATTAAAACACTATCAACTCCTCATGTTTAATTACCACTTCGAATATCACCAACTCAAGAATAACTTTCCGTTTACTCAAAGAAAAACAGAAAGAATAGAAAGACCATACTGTGATGTAAAATCCCAAACAATAAAATGTCAATATTAGAACATCAAGAGCATAAATTCTTCGAAAATTGAAACTCACAACTATCAAATATTTTATAAATTGCCTTCATGTCAATTTCTCTGTCTCACAATTCAAATTGTCCATAACGGAAAGTTACAACGCAAAATTGAAAAGTAAGAAGAACAAATAATCAAGAAACCCAATAATCACCTATCACAGGTTTCCACAGAATCAACCACTGCACACATTTAATTGGAAATTTTTTTCTCGGAATGTTGGAGTTTTTTCTTGGTTTGTGGTGACCGGATACTTGACTGAAAGGAGTTTTTTTTCTAAATGTTTAATGGAAGCGATTGGAGAAATAATAGAAAAGTCTGATGAATTGACTCGCCTCTCCTTGCCAATCGAACCAATTTCATGGGAAAGTGTTGAAAGATTTTTTTTTAGTTGAATAAATTTCCCACAGAGAATGTTTTTCGCCATTTCCTCTGAGAATCCCACCCTTGAGATAATGACATTCTAGCGAACGGGCCCTTCGCGCCCGTTGTTCGATTCATTTATACTATTTTATTTTATTTCCATTCCCGTCTTCACAATTGGATTAATTTAATTTTATCCATTCTTATTCTTATTATATATATATTTTTCCTTCATTCACAAGTTACATTGTATGAAGAGGAATTATATAAAGATCAATCAAAAGTGGTTTTTTTGTGATCAAAACAAACACGCAAAACAAAAGTCATTTGGAATCTCATTCGGGTAATAGAAAAATCTCTCCATGTATTCCTGAAAATTTTTAAAATCTTTTTTTCCTTCATATGGTAAAAGGGTATCGGTACTTCTCATTCCTATGGTCGGATTCCAATTATTATTATGGAGAAGAAATGGAAAAAGCATCAAAAAGAGTTAATCGGCTAGAAAAGGTTTTGTTTCCTTCTTTTATGTCCGCTGGAACTTCGAATTACTTTTTTTCTTCAAGTATTAGAGAGATATGAATATTTCAGCGAGAATAAATTGATAAAATGGAAAAAAAGTGAACGGAAAGAACTAAAAAAATTAATGTTTCAATTTCTCCGGACAGTTTTAAAATCGATTTTTTTTTCGAATAATGAAAGAATACCCATAAATTCGATTTCTATCCTTGTCTTTTGATCGAATACATAGAATAAATGACAGAAATTGAGAATTGGAGACTAAAAATTTTATCGGATTATTATTATGTAATAATTAAACAAAAAATAACAGTCCACCCAATTTGCGTTTCATCACTCCACAACCGCATCATCGACAATTCTAAACGGGAATTTAAATATCTATATTTTTAATGATGACAATAATGTGCCGAGTCTGAGTAATCTCCACCAAGAGTTGAGCTGATTGTTCCTCATGGTTGAGATAACGTGATCATTGCTAGAAGCGAATCATTAACATCTGAATAAATACTTCTCGTTTCTCCAATTCATTCTGCAAAAAATATGTTCAATAAAAAAGTTTTCTCTTCATTTCCCATAATAGGACGGATCCCTGGAACTGCCATTCTGTACAATTCACATGCAGAAACCAGTGTCCGACAAGGGCTGGGCTGAACAGGAGATGGCATCCCTCCCAAACGTCATGATTCCCCTCGAGTTCCTCGCGACACGTGTCGAACAACTCCTATCCTCTCACAGCGGAAGTCTACCACTCCCAAGTCTGCCAACTTGCTACGAGGGTGTGTTTCAGGAAGCACTGAACGTCGATGAAAACGGTGTACCTCTCGAGCACTTGGTATCCTGTGTCCCTTCAGTCGAACTGAGACAGGGGATTGGAAGTGTGAAGTACCTCGTTTGGGTGGGAGACAAGGGACACGACGACAGTCATGAGGAGATCACCAAATGCGTCAGTCCACCACTCGCCAATCAGCTGGCTCTCTTCAGCAGGGAGCTCGTAGATTTGCTGAAGACAGCTCCACACTGTCAGTTGCCTTTCAACCGATTCATTCCTGCCTATCATCATCACTTTGGGAGACAATGCAGAGTCGCTGATTATGGATTCACTAAACTGATTGATTTGTTGGAGGCGTTGACACATACTGTGCAGGTAAATAGAAAGAAATCTCAATACTTGATTGACTAATAAGAAGGAACAAGTTGAAGATTATTTAACTGTCAATTGATTGCAATCATTTTGGATTGTAAGAGCTGCACTGAAAAAAAAAATTATTTTGAGAACATGATTCTTCTCGAAAAATTAATCTGCAAAAATTAGTTTAAGGAAAGTCAGGGGATATTGGAGAAATAAGTCCGACGTTTACTAAAATGTCGTAGTGCTACGTTTACAAATAAACAAATACATGAAAATAAGCAAAATGTCAGTCAGTAGTAACATAGGATCTGCCAAACGCAAGAAGATTTGTTCATTTGTGAGCATGCAAATTGCTTACGTACCAATTCTGGTATAAATTAAATGAAAAAATGATGCTATCCAAATTATCTTCAAACTTCGATAAAATGGGATTGGAATAGTATTTTTCTGTTCTGCTTCTCACGATTTCTCCTCTGGGAATTGGTATTACATACTTCCCAAACTCGAAAACTTGAAAATCACTACAAAAAAATCTTGTCCCGGGCTGTTGTAATGGTTTTTTTTTACTCGTGTGGTCGCCAACGTCACGTGAGTAAAAAATCCCATCGCAGCAACTCGGAAAATTTTTTTTTCATGCATAATTGAATTAAAAATTTACTTTGAGAGAAATTTTAGAAAAAATCAAAATTTACCAAAAATTATCATCAAAATCAAACCAACGTATAAAGCTATCGTAATAGTCGTCTAACTCCAACAGGGCGGCATTGGAACCAATATTTTGAGTTGTGATTGAATCAAATTAATTCAACTTCTCATTTTTCATGAATTCTCATTTCCAAAAAATACAAAATTTGTGAAAATTATTCTACAAATTAAACAACGATTATTACTATCGCCTTCATCTTCGAACTCGGTCAAAGGGACATCGAAATCATTTTTTAAACCGTAATTCAATGAATTCATAACTTTTTTTTAAATTATCGTAAGTCAATCAATTTTTGAAAAAATTCTAAAATTGTAAAAATTAATATATGAATTAAACTTCTATTAACGTCAATAGATACACTGAGAGAAAAACAAATAAGTTCTCAAACAAGTCTTGTTTGGGCCAGCAAAATTGTTAGTTTAAAATTACAAAAAAAAATAGTTTGGTTCGAATTTGAAAGTCTCAAACATGAAAAATTGCTCTGCTTTCAACAATAACGGAATATTGGGCTAAAGAGGCGGATCATTTACACAAGACGGTGCCTTTTCAGGATAAAAACATCTTTAAAAAGGGAAATTTATCAAGAAATATTGTGTCCTTACGTTACAAGATTGCTGTCATATCATTATTATTATTTCATTTAAAAATTCATTTTTTGTCCGTTACTATTGAATAGCCAAAACGACAAACTACTATTCCTTGTTTCATACACAACGAGTATTTGCCAGGAGCAAAATCCATATGGGAGCATCGAATAACGAAGAAGTAGTTCTAGGAATTACATTTCTTGCTTGCACAGAGAATAAAATTTGGTTGAAGAGAATAAATCTATTTTCGCAATAACAATTTTCAATCTCGGCGCATGTTTGGCACACAAAAATCTTTTTTTGATCATTTTCAACAACCGTTTTAGTTGGCACAAGTAAGACTTGTTTGAGAACTCTGCTATTTTTCTTTCAATGTATTTCAAAACACCATTTGTGACAAAATCTCCGAAAAATAAAATTTTTATTTCTACTCACCTGAAAGTGCATGGGCGAGAAAAACAAATAAGTCATTAGCGAACAATTAAATGAAAAATTGGTCACATACGTATATCCATACTGACAGGATCTAGGGGTTGCATTTTCGATCTTTTTGGATCATAATGGGTTGATACAACCCAAAAAATCCAAAGCTGAAATTTGAACAATTACACAGCTTCCATTCAGAACCAAAAATCCCTTGACCTATCACCCTCTTTTTTAAACCTCTCCAACTCCACAATTTTTAAACCTATCTAAAAAAATTCTTTTCTCCTTATCTGAAAGGTAATGGGCGAGGGAAACAAGCGCGTGGTGACCCTCTCCCACCGTGCCCAAGTGCGTCGCTTCACGTCAGACCTCCTCCGAGTCCTGAAGGCCCAAGCCAGCAAGCAGATAACGCTCTCCGAGTTCCCCAGCGTCTACGCAAGAGTTATCGGAAAACCATGGGACGTCGTAGACTACGGGGTCTGCGACATCCACGACATCCTCCACGAGGTCTCCGAGAACACAGTGGTCGTGACCACCTGCAACGACTCCGACAAACTCATCTCCATTCCAAAACGCGAGCAAACCCCCGAGGAAATAGAACGAACGAAACAATTCGCCGTCGAAGTTGTGGAGTTGCTTCGTCACGCCCCCCAGTGCAGCATGCAGTTCAACAAATTTGTTCCCTCGTATCACCACCACTTTGGCCATCAATGTCGTGTCTCCGACTATGGTTTCACGAAGCTCATCGAACTCTTCGAGGCAATACCCCATGTCGTGAACATTGAGGATGCAGTTAATGGCGAGAGACGCATAAGTCTCACCGAAAAAGAAGGACTTCGAGTTTTGGGTGAGCAGATAAGCAAGCTCGTCCTTAAAACTCGAGGCGGTCTCGCCATTCCCAGTATAGCCCAGGCATTTCTACGTCAATTTGGCTACATGCTGCGTCCCGAGTTCTTCGGTTGTAGTTCAATGCTACAACTAATGGAGAAACTAGACGATACTGTTAAAATCATTCAGGGATCAAGTTCACCGGTGGTTGTTCTCGTGGACAAATCCCACGTACAATTGCTGGGCCTCCAGTGTCGTCGGATTCTGGTGGACCAGAGCCAGCAGAAGATGACGTTAAAAGACTTCAAGATTGCTTACAACGATTTATACGGGACATCCTGTAACATAAATGAATTCAAGCACGATCTCTCGGAGATTGTTAAATTCACTGGTGAGGGGGATAATGAGTCTATCCAACTAACTCCACTTCAATGTTTAGCCTGCAACATTTACAAGATTCTTATGAGTCACGGGGGGAGACTTAGTCTCCAGAAATTCGAGGCTGGGTATCTGAACGCTTTTAAAAAGAGTTTGAACCCAGCTCAGTACGGTTTTTCCACCCTGTCGGCTCTTTTTCAAGCATTGCCATGCACAGTTACTATTAAAGAGACTCGCACCAAGAAGAAGAACCTCTTCTTGAGTAAAAAATTGGCAATGGCGGGCATCCCATTGCCCTCGAACTTTTTATCTCCTCACAGAGATAACAATTCTAGCAGTGAATCGTTAGAGAGCGATCAAAGGATCGACAGCACTGAGAATGCAAATGCTGACAAATGGACGGGCAAAGATGTTACAGTGTGGAACGATAGGAGGAATAATACTTTATGGAAGAAGGATAATCACTGGGGGTTATCCACCTGTGAGAGGTCCCTCAAGTGGTCCATCCTCGAGAGCAGTGGCGAGTCCTTCTTCAAGAGCTTGATAAACACCCCAACATTGAAGAAGGATCTGCCCAAGCCACCCAAGCCAGATACCCCTCCTAATGATGACAAGGACACTTGGCAGTCGTCAGTCTGGGCGACACCACCAAATTTCAATCACGATCTTGGTGGCAGAACTGTTGAGGTCCCTCCGATCAATCTTCCCAATTGGAATCAAATTGATGATGATGATTCAGTGTCGAATCTACTGTCTCCAACGAAAAATCTACTGCCAGCAGCTGCTAATCCACTCAATCCCAGAACTTCACCTTTCTATTCCAACAAGCATTCTGTTATAGCTCCACATCCCTCTGAATTACCACTGCCATCACTAACTCTGGCACCCAGACGTGGCATACATTCCAATAATGATATGTTGGACTCTAGGTTACTGGGAAATTCCCTGGAAGTTCACAGTCCAACTAATTCGGAGAATTACAGTATTTCGGAGAGTGAGTCTTCAGATGCACTCAATACCACTCCCAGCAAGAAAATGTTTACTGGCAAACGTCGACTTGCTGCACAGTTCAATCAACCGTTGGATTGAGGTGGGGAGGACGATGCTGAGGCATTAATTTGAGTTTGTGGTAGGTATTTTCTTTTGTTGTTGAAGAAAATGAGAGAACATTGGATTGAGTTCAGGAGTTTTCAGAGAATTTGAGATATATTTGGGTTTGGATGGAAAATGTTGTAAGGGGTAATGTCTCATTCATGACATCTGCTTGTTACCAGATTTATAACGATGAGGATCATGATTTTAGTATTGATAATTTGCCTTCGTGAGATTCACTCGTTATTGAATAGTACCTAACATTTTTTCCAGACTGTGATATACAATATGTACGTAATGGATTTTTCGTTTTTAATTGAAACAGGTAGGATCAGTTTTCGAGGGTATCTTTTGAATTTTAGTTATTATGATTCCACTGGTATTGGTTGATGAGTTTGAGAGATTTTTTCGGGGTGAAGCGATACAATAGGATGATCTTTTGATGAATATCTTTGTTAGTCTGATGCCAATCGTCAGTAAATTTTGTAGAAATAAAGACACTTGGTGCAGGAAAAATCAGTTTTTTAAAAGTATCTCTGGATTTAGGGCGGATAGGGACATTTTCTTAAGAATTTTCACGACCATTTCGCTTTTCATGGAAAAATTTAGGAAAATTGCAGGGAAATTCAATTGAATTTTTATTGAACTTCATTTTTTTGTTAATGTAAATGTTCAATAAAAAAATATTTCATGAAGAAAATGAATAGAATTTGATTTTTCTGTACAATTTATTCTACTGATATATTTTCTGCGGAAATTTTTCGGCTCAATTTGGAGTGGAGAAACAAATAGAATGAAAATAAAATGTCTCAATGGAAACAGTTGTGTAGAAATATCAAAAACTGCTGATTATTTTCATAAAATAGTTTTTATTGAACACTCTATTTAAAGAATGAACAGTGAAACTGTGAAATTGCTCTTACATTCTGAGATATTGTCTTCACACTCCAAGAGAATTTTCAACCGAGAATCGATTTATTCTGTTCTGTCACATCACTACGGAATTAAATAACCAGCAAGAGTTCAGATACTTATCATAAGTATTCCATTTCCATTTTTTATAAATCATTCGTATATTCTTATGCATTGGTCTCCTTTTTAAATTGATGATGCTTTTGTCACATTACCTGATGTCAGAAAGACAGCGAAAAAGGATCTTACGAAAGTACATGAAATTTTCTTCTAATTCGAAATTAAAAAATCATTGGAAAAGAGTTCCGTAATTTTTCCTCTTCGGTGTAAATTAGAGAAAATTCCAATTGTTTCCTTGATTTATTTTATTGGAAATGAGACATAGAAATTCGTGGAATTAGGTGGTAGCTATTGATCATTGATTGTCTAATTGAATCTATAGGAATAATCTTATTTATTTGAGTTGTCTCCTCCTGTCTCCATACGTATCCAGAAGTGATCTCAAATTATTTTATAATTTTTGTAGTATGAACCACTCGTAAATTATATCATAGCTATAATTGAAAAAGAAAAGAAAAAAAAGAATAAAAGTCACGAATAAAATGCGTCGAAAGCTTAAGAATAAGTAAGTTAGTGATTGTCGCCTTAATTTTGGTCTTTGTCCTCATGTTTAAATAGTTCGTACATTGCTAATTGTATATTTATGAAAATATGTGCGAGGGCAGAGCAAAAATTCCCTGATATCGTACTTTGGCTAATTGATTTTGTAACTAATTATTAATTATGAAGTCATATTTTTTATATCTATTAATGGTTTTCCATACACCTAGGAGCTTTTACATGGCGGAAATAAGTGCGACCACAGAAAGTAGTGAATTGTATTGAGGAATATCACCATTTCTAGTATTTTAAGAATAATCTTCAGCGATGATTTTTCGAAATATTTTATTAAGATTTTACCGAATCAGTAATAAAATCTTTATCTCTGTGGAAGTCTTCGATTGTAATAGCGATGCCCTGGAAGAGAGGAATGATTGATTGAGATGGATAGACTCAGTCTAATCGAAAAATGCGAATGAATTCGCCAGTTAAAATTTTATTATGATAACGAGAAATAAAGAAAAATGAATGAATACATTTCATGGAAAGTATCAATAAAACAAAATTAAAGTGGAGGAACATGTATTTGTAAATGCGTAATGCGCAATTTTGTCCCCAACGAGTAATTTAATAAATAGAATGAATGTCATGCACACGAGGTCTGTTTTTTATTCAGTTTTTAATTCTATACTGTTTTTAAAAGTTTCTTTTAGAGATTTTCCATGCAATAAGTGTCTAAATAATTCAAGGGAAGAGAAAAGAAGACAAGTGATTGAACAATTGTGCCACAATAGCAGTTTATTAAACCAATGATTTTGAGGAGTCACCGCAGTGTGAGCAAAAGGACACCCCATTCGTTTCGTTTTTTTTCATTTAAATATCTACAGTTTTAATATTATTACTCTACGTATGATACAATCAGTTATCCTCAGGCTCCGCAGGCTTCTTCCTGTCTCCTACCATTCCGGTACCAACTTCACCGTGTCTTCTCTCCCAGATCAGGCGATGCTTCTGTTTCATTAAAACATCGCGAACGTTTGGATGAGGACCTAAATCGGCATCTGGAGTTTTTGAGAGAAAATATTTTCATTTTTTTAAAATAAATTCGTCGATTTATTAGGGTGAATAATTCGGTGGGATTACTTTGACACCATTTTTACAGCATTTTCCACGAAAAAATCATTGAAACTTATGCACAGAATGATTGGACAAAAAAAATGTACTATGTTTTTGAGATAAAAATTCAGAAAAAAACATTGCGTGTGTCAGAAAATTAATTGACATAAAAAATGTATTAAAACTTTTCAGAAAGACAATAAATTGATTTATCACACACAATAGAGTCCCTTCATATTTGGACACATGTAATGTTTTACATTAAAACCTTCTCTACAGAATATGAAATCCTAACATTCTAATTATGTATGAATTATGTATGTATATTCTAACATTCTATGCATCTTTCCAATTACACATTATGCAATTTGAATTCCACATTGTACAATTGAAAGTAGTAAATGTTTAATTAATTTTGCGCAATTCGACATGTGTAATTCAACCATATGAAATTCAGGGAAAATTGGTGGACTTTTTCCACTTGAATTTCACATGCTCTTATTATACCTGTCGAATCGCACACGAATTGAACATTTACAAATTTGCAATATACAATGTGAAATTCAGATTGTACAATGTGTAATTTGGTTTGTGCATTTCCATTTATTAGGTTTCTAAAGGCAAGATTTTAATCTCAAACCGTCCCGTGTGTCAGAAAATGAAGGGACTGTATTATTTGTAATGAGTTATTTCATGGAGAAAACGCAGTATTGGTGCTAAAGTATGGAGAAGCAACAAAATGAGAAATGTCCAATGAACTTGAGAACAAATAAGTTTCTTCCCATCTTAAAGAAGAATAAATGGATCATTCTTATAGAAGAACTAGGGGACTACGCCCTATGATCTAGATTCTAACCCTCGTAACCCTTAATTTGACCCTCGTGACCCTTATTTTGATCCTTCATTTCTGACCCTTAATTTTGGAATCTTAATTTCGAGCACTAAATTTTCATCACCAAAAGTCGATGAGGATTTTTATTTACAATATAGAGAGATATTGAGACCCTTCTTTTGTCCCTTCTGACCCTTAGTTTCTGACTTGACCTATTTGGACCCTTAGTTTCTGACTATGACTTTTATTTGGACCCTCAATCGGACCTTTGTGACCCTCATTTGGATCCTTAATCTGACCCTTATTATAACCCTCATAACCCTTATTTTGACCCTGGTGACCCTTAATTTCTAACCCTTAGTTTTTGACCCCTGTCCCTTATTTGGATCCTTACTCCGACCCTTATAACCCTTAATCTGATCCTTGTGACACTTCTTTAGACCCTTTTGACCCTTATTGCCTTTATTTGGGCCCTTGATCTGACCCTTGTGACCCTTAATCTAGCGACTCTTAATTTGATACACATAAACGTTCATGTATTCCTTGTGTCCCTCATCCTGACCCTTATGACCCCGATTTTGACCTTCATGATCTTTTCGGCTCTTAATTTCGGAGTCTTAATATCGAGTACCAACTTTTTATCACCGAAAGTCAATTTGGAATTTATGTAATAGAGAGAGATAGTTGAATTTCCCTCAGGAAAGATTCCATTTGCATTTTATATAAAAAAAATTAAGTGAAAGCTTCATCTTTAGAGTGACCAAATCAATCAAGAATTGATGTCAAAGGGACGTGGACTTATCTCGTTGCAACATTCCACCACTGAATTATTTTAGGGTGCATGATGGCTGATTAAAATTTACGTTGTGCCGTCCACTCGGCAGCTGCATCCTCATAAATCTTGTACAAGTGATCGCAGGCTTTCTCCCTGTCTTCAGGATTGTACATACAACAGTCCTCGTATCTACTTCTCAGGATACTCAGAATCTCATCATCAACCAGCCTAATAAAATCGAAGAAGAGAAAAATCATTTTATTCAGAATTTTTTACTGTCGGGATGAATGAGTTTTTGGATTCAGTGGATAATTGCACATAATCTCAAGTCGAGAATAATATAGCTGTCTCCAGCGTTTCAAATCATTGAATTGAGAATTTGGAAATTCCTGATTCAGAAATGTTTTTTTCCGTAATCGCTTGAGGGAATCGTACTGCACTTTTCGTATAGTTAATTTATTGTATACAAGTTCAGAGAGAAGGAAAACAGGTAACACATTTTATGATCCGCGGACCAAATTACCGCAACAAAATTCCCAAATGAAAAGAAAACTGGAACAATTTTTCCAGCGACAATTGTATTGTTGACATCTGTTCTGCCGACAATTTATCCTTGGTACATTATATCCGTCGAGAAATTATCCGATATTTCATGTCTTTACAATTTCGGATGGTAAACAATAATTAGCGATGGTTCCCGATGACCCCCTCTCTTTTCGTCTTAAGAACATTGTATCTTCTTACAATTCTAATGCCAAATTGAATTATTTGAAACGTGTTGTAGCCATTTTGAGGCTGTAGAAGCTGTTGTGACGATATTTTTGATATGTTCACCGTGTAGTTTGAAAATGAAGCGGAGCGAATTCTTAAACGATTGGAAATTTAACCCTTCTGAACTGGCGTTCGGTGCCCACCCGAGTCCACTGGCTCGATGAGCAACGTGCCGCCCGTGTTACGGTTAACGCGGTGTTGCCACACTGGAGCCCTATACGTGAATAAAAATCTACACTGCACACATTTTTCTCGAATTAAACACCATTTATGCTTTATAAATAAAAAAATTCGCGTTTTTTATGAGACGCCAAACAAGGCAGGTGATAGAGATGTTGACGTTCCTAGTATATCTGAACTGGAACGAACGACGTGACAACAGCACGGCTAAAAACCGACTACACGAGTCCACTGACTGAGGGCGGCGAGGCGCCGCTTTTCCGTGCCAGTCTCACTAAATTATTATTTTTCATAATATTCATGGGGTTTTCAAAGGATAGGCATCTTACCAGTCCATTCTAGAGGGTTTGAACTAGGCATTGTAATTTTCACAAATCTTTTCATACATAATTTTGCATGCAACAAAAATAAATCGAGAAAAGGCGGCACTTTGCTCACTGATCCAGTTCAGGAGGGTTAATGCAGTATTATTTGTAATTATGTGTTGATTCAATGTTAGTTAATGGTTGCAATGTATATTTATAAATTAAAGGTAATAGCGTGCTTCTATGAATTGAGGGGCATTTTTTTTTACTGGAGTGGCGGAAGCATTGTAATTGTATGTAAAATGGGAGTTATCGAATTGAAAATTACGAATTAAATGTTGTGTATGAATTCTGAGTTACTTTTTTCTTTTTGGCACTTGACATTGCTTCAAAGGATGAAATTTAAATGAAATTTCCGGAAAATTTGACGGTGATCATTTTGTACCTCGGGAATACGGGATGAGGAAAATGGTCGGTGAGAAAGTTGTCAACGAATAAATTATCGTCGGTTATTTTGTCGCGGAAATTTTGTCCGCGGACCATAAGTTATGGAACCGGAAAACATGTTTTCAAACTTCTTGAATTCTGGAACCGAAAAACAAGACGAGTATTCTGAAAAAAAAAACAACTAATCGGACCAGTAGTTTGGGAGATATTGAACAATACATTTGTCCGATTTCGCCAACGCAGAATCCCATCCTGTATCGGCACTTGCCTTTATATATTCTAAAGGATATGGCGGTTATAGAATGCAAAATTTTCAAACAAATTTTCTGCTCAAAGTTATTGATATTTCTTAAATCCAAATCACATTGATCTTCAGCATCAACTCCTGGAGATTAATGCGCTTTGATTTGTAAAAAGATCGATCACTTTCGGCAGAAAATTTGTTCAAAAATTTGGAAAATTAGCGGCATTCTGTTACCCCTTAATTCAACGTTTGTCGAATGGAAGTTTCGTCAATGAAACCTTCCGGTTATCTTTTCTTTTCTAAGAATATAAGTAAAATCGGTGTTTGTGTATGGGATTCTAGAGTCTTATTATCGGTTTTATTTTGGTTCCTTGTCGAAATAATAATCAATACATCTCATTTATTTCATTGAAATTGAATTTTCTGGAGAGGGGGAACTACTCTGAGGCACTTGAGAGGGATTGCTTCGAATGTTGTATTTTAAATGACTGATCATTTGTTAGATTTTGTAGTGTTGTGGATATGACTAGCTGTGTTATTTATTTCGTCATGCTTATGAACTTGGGTCAAATCACTTTTTATTGAGACTCAATGTTGTTTATTCTGGAGACGATGTTTGCAAATTTAATATTGTGCTTCGTAAGTTTTTTTTTTACTTCATTGCATTTCATATTTCAACAATATTATTCAAGTTCTGAAACACTAGTCATGACTGCGATCTCAAATTAAAAAAAAAATCATTTTTGACTCTCGTCGTTGGGCTGGTAAACCAAATTTTACTTTGCTCACTTATCCTCCCCTCTCGCCATTGTTTTATGGTGATTTCCTTTGTGAGTAGAAAAGTAGCTATCGTACAAATTTCGCAAATCGGCAAAAGGCCAATTGTGTAAGGATTGCAATTATTCATTGAAAAAAATTAATAATTTCAAAGTTATTTCAATCGCAAAACAGAAAATGCAAAGCTACTCTATATTTCAAACTTCAATGTAAAATTTTATAAAGTTGAAGTTTATTTGTTAATATCTCTTCCAACTCTAATTTCTCTCTGCAAAACGACGAGAGCCACGATTTTGTTGGAAAATGGCTGTTGAAAATTTTCTCAATTTTTTAATAGGACTCTTTTTTTTTTTTTTTTTTATGCTTATTTTATATCGCTTCGAGTCTGATGAACTATATGGCGATTGATCAAGACTTTTAAAATGGTTAGATCTCACCATTCTACCCGGCCAGGAATCGAACCTGGAACCTATCCGTTGTGAGGCAACGGCCTTAACCACTACGCCAGGCCACCGGGCGAAATAATAGGACTCTTAAATAATTTGTCGGTTGTGAACTTTGCCAAAAAGCAATTTTTAAAAATTGGATTATTAAAAATTTTTTGAGCGTCCACTCTAGCCTAATGAAACAATTTTCAAATATTTAAATCTTAAAAAAAAAAAAAAAATTTCGCAAATTTTTTAGTGTCCATTTTACCCCAGATGTCCATATCCCCCCCTCCCAATTTACTAAAGTTCTGAAACGATCTGAACTTGCATCCTATCTATTTTGTTTCAAAACTTTAGTAAACGACTGTACATAATTCCCAGGCAAAATTACAAAATCGTCAAAATCAACAAATAAAAATCTATCCCTTCGAGAGCAAAAACGATACTCACTTGTCTCTATCATATTGAGCATTGGCTTCATACTGGCAGACCAAATCATCAGTGTAGCACTCATCCATCGTTGGTACCCTCTTGAATTTTCGATGATACCACGGATAATGCTGCTGATTAGGCACAACAATTTTTTCTGTCAACAATGATCAAAAAAATCATGAGAACAAAAACTATAATAACAATTACCGTGCCAAGTGCCTACAGCCACTGGAAATAACCTCTCAAATGAACGATTAGATAATACCTCGGAACCAGACGACCGGTGCCTCAAGAGTTTCGTACACCGACAACATAAACTTCTCCAGTCCACTCCGCGGGTCCATGGAGTACAAATTTAATTAATCAATCGTCACTGAGAAAACTAAATTCCTAAGAATTCTCGAATTTTTAGTGGAGTCGAGAAAATGGCAGTGTAATCGAACCCAGTGACGACTCTCGAGGTGGGAGAGACTGCTTCGGAGGTGTCAGCACCATTAGATAACGATAACATGCCATAGTTCACAACAATGCACCGTTTGCCCCCAAAAATGAAGAAATCTGCTGCAAAAAGCCACAATTTTCATTTTTCAACACAGGTTTTCACTCGTAAAATAGTTCGAAAAATGGAAGCAATCTTTTGTTTTTGAACCTCCCGCCATCAGCAATGGCGCTGTCATCGGAAAATGGCCGCTTCTCCCCCCCCCCCAAACTGAACAATAGTTCGCTAGAAATCCATGACGTAACGCAAGGGGTAACGAAAAGCCTTTGGAGAAGAAAAGAAATAGACGAAGTTCCCTCAGTAGCCATTTTGTTTTCGACGGAGGACGGAATTCAGGTATTAAAAGTCAATGATAATTTACCTAAGCGAAAGATACATATTGTTTTACCGAAATTAATATCGAATGAAGAATTGATAACGAGTTATTCATGAAGAGAGTGAACTAAATAGTCTTGTATCGATATTATTGGCCAGTCATTGGTTCCGAGTACGTTCAGAGTATTTTTTTTTGGTAAGACATTTCGGTAGATTACTGAGGGTGTACTCAAGAGTGAATCAATGCTAAGATCCATTAGTCGGTTGTTCAGAAAATTTGAGCATGCGAATGAATACAAATCGATATGATAGAATTGTTCCGTATGCCTTGTGCAAATGACAATGATGGGGGTGACCAGGAATTCATATAAAGACACTTGAAATATAGGATAAAAAATTGCAAAACATAGTCGACATGAAAGAGGACACTTTCTCAGAACGAAAATATTCTTATTATTACAATAATAATTTTTTTTTTTCAATTTGATGAGATTTGTTGGTGACATTGACGGTACAGGGAAATTTCACCTGAAATTGGACAAAAAGACATGTTTCGCCCCAGGAATCCGCGAATAAAAACTATTTCATGAAATAAAAAGAGTTTTTATTTTGTGAAACTCAGAGTTTTGCTAGATCTTGAAAAATTTTCGTTTCTTCAATTGCGGGTGAACTTTCCCTGTCTTCTATTGCGGAGGTCACAATCCTCAAATCCTCAACACAAGAATAATTCTCCTTGAATCCGTTTGTGAAGTGGTAAAATGAGATAAATAATTTATTATTATTTTTTAGTGAATGAAAATCTCGTCACTGATTAATGTTTTGACCCAATCAGTTATAAGTTATCACTTTCATCGAAAACAATTCACTTTATATTCCCCAAGAGTGCATTATCCCGACTAGTATATTACGTCAAAAAACAATTGAAATACAATTTCATTACACTTTTTGAAAAATATCTCAGAATCCATGGCAGGTACCAAAAATTTGGAGACTTGTTTGTAGAGCAAAACGAAATCTACAAAAAAGTTTCTCAAATTGCGTGATCTTCTATATATTCAGAGATATTTTTCAAAAACTGATTTATTGCATTGGATAATTAATTTTTTCTCGATAAATATTTTCGAATCCGCAGAAGACAGCAGATTTATCAAAAAAACCTTTGTAGCTTCTAGTTAGCTCCACAAAAAGGTCCTCAGAAAAATTCACCTACCTTCCTTCACTGAGAAAAAAAAATTGTGCCAAATATCCATTTACTTCAGAGAAGTATTTATTTTTTCAATACTGTATTTCTCTAGTCGAGTTATTCCCAGGCAATCCTCATTAGGTTTCAACTGTGACAATCATATTGCTCTAAAAGATGATTATGTTGCACATGACCTGGATGAACTCGTTCCAGGATTATTCATTGTTACTATTGTTACTATTTCTTATTTTCTGGAGGAAAGAATTTCGACTAATTTTTTAATGTTGATAATTATTTAGGGAGTTCACTCAAGATTATAACTAAGATGATCATCTTCTAGAGTAATATAATTATCATAATTAAAACCTAATGAGGATTTCCTGGGCATGACTCGAGTGAAGAAATACAGTATTGAAAAAGTAAATACTTCTGTCAAGTAAATGGATATTTGGCAAAAATAATTTTTTTCTCAATGTTGAGTTTGAAGGTATTCATCCAAACTTCACCCCAAAGTATCAAGACTATACTCCGACCATTTCAATTCATCATCAAAATCTCCTACTCCTCAGCCATTCACGGTCATCAATAGCAATTTTAATCTAAAATGAAAAAAGGATGGAATTAAGAGAAATCAATTCTTTCAGTAATTGCCAACGTTTCGAACACAGAAAGTGTTCTTTATCAGGGTATTCTTTTATTCATCCTAAAATAAACTCAATGAATCTCATTCCACCACTTCGCATCTGAATCAAGAGCAATATTGTAAACCTCAAGAGAACTTCGGCACTTCGGTAGCGAAGCGGTAAAACGGTTCAAGTAGATTTTGGCTATTCGCCAGTTTTCAATGAATATCTCGAAATCTGAGGGAGATAGCAAAATCGTTGTCATAACCTTTTTTGGAGCCCTCAAATCGCGCTACACAAAAGCTCATTATGAAAATTTCATTAGCTTATTAGCCCTTAGATTCTGAGATATTTGAAGAAAACCCAACTAAGCGATTAATCGACTTAAGGATATCCAAGTACTTTAGCTATTTTTTGTCCAGTGAAATGCTTTTGTCCTTTTGTAGTCGAACGTCAGAGCTTTCATTTGACCCCCATTTAAGCCTAAGTTTCCGGACATTTTACAATGAGTTTATTATTTAAACTTTGCAGGTCTGAATTTAAATCTCGATATTGAACTGCTAGTAAACTTTTCCCAAATCTAAAAAAAAATTAGAAAATTTACTTTTGGGGGAAGATGGATGAAATTATTAAAAAATTGCAATTTTTGAAAATTACGAGTATTTTTTCTAAATAATTTATAAACAATCAATTTTCCACCATAAAAATCATTTGTTCGGTATCGTAACAAATTTATTCATATTCATAACTTTACTAGAAATCGATTTCACGCCTGAAAAACTAAGGTTTCCAAAAATTTAAACAATTTTAATTCTTTATTTATAAACATCGAGTGTTTAAAAAATGATAATTTTGTGCAAAATGTTATTTGAATGACGCTGAATATTCATGACTTTTTTCAAATTTTTTTCACGCAATTTACTTGACAAATTTTATGATCGAAAATGGTTGAATCTACACTTAGAGGAAAACACCAAAGTTCTCAAACAAGTCTTACTTATGCCCAAAAAATAGTTTGTTAAAAATGATCAAAAAAGGTTTTTTTGTCCTAAACATGCGAAGCGCCGATCGAGATTGAAAATTTTTGTTGCAAAAATAGATTTACTCTTTAAAAAATATTTACTCTCTGTGCAAGCAAGAAATATAATTTCTATCACTACTTCTTCGTTATTCGATGCTCCCGTACGTATTTTGCTTCCGGCAAATGCTCGTTTTATATGAAATGAGGGATAGTAGTCATTACGACTATTCAGTAATCACAGACAAAAAATAAATTCTTAAATGAAATAACAATAATGATATGACAGTAATCTTGTAACTTAGGGACAAAATATTTCATGATAACCATCCCTCTATAAAAGATATTTTTGTCCTGAAAAGGCACTGTCTTGTCTGAAAGATCCGCCTCTTGAGCCAAATATTTTGTTGTTCTTAAAAGCAGAGCAATTATTCATGTTTGAGACTGTCAAATTCGAACCAAACAATTATTATTTTGGCAATTTTCAACTAACGATTTTGTTGGCCCATGCAAGACTTGTTTGAGAACTTTTCTCATTTTTCTCTCAGTGTATAGGGTAAACAGACCAATTGCTGGACGGTTAAGGGAAATTCCAGTTTCATGGTAGGATCTAAAACAAAAGAATTACCTAAATGGGGATATGATGGTTTCCATACCTTCAAGAATGTTTTATTTAGCAGAAAAAAGTTGTTTGAAGTGAAAATAATAACACAAAGAATCATTAAATTAAGAAATAGTTGAATTCTCCCGAAACCCCTAATTTCTGGACGACTGGCCATATTTTTATTTATTTATTAAGGTGTTTCTTGCGGAAGAAGTAAATAATGACATTCCCCTGGAATTCATATAGAATGTTTATAATCACAATTGAATTATCTACGATTTTTTTTGAATTTTTTCAGGTGTCTTCTTTAAATTATTAAGGTACTTCCGCAGTAAGTATACTTGGTGAAAATTTCGAAATGGTATAAAGACACAATATTTGGATGATATGTTGTTGACCACATTAAAAAGATATTCCCAAAATTTCAAGTCCCTGGTCCACCCCATTTTTGAGATATGCATCGCCAAACATTCAATTTTTGTGTTTTTTCCATTGTTGACGATGTATATCTCGAAAATGGGGTGGACAAGGTACTTGAAATTTTGGGAATAATTTTTGAATGTGCTCAACAACATATGATCCAAATATTGCGTCTATACCATTTCGAAATTTTCATCAAGTATACTTACTGCGGAAGTTCCTTAACGATTAAAGTTTTATGAAGACTCTTATAAAGATTTTTCTATTTAGTCAAAAACTGCGCTACCATCTGAGTTGATAATATAGTTTCATGCTAAATAGAAAAATTTCCATAAGAGCCCATGTGTAAGCAGCGACTTTAATCCTTAATGATTAACCACTGTTTATTAAAAACCACAGATATAATATCGTTATTTTCTTTATATGCCTGTTTTTTTATGTAAATAGCTATAAATAATTGTAAATCATTGTTATACTCTTGAATAAAGACTTGATTAAAAAAAAACTTTAATCGTTAATAACTTGAAAAAGAAATCTGAGAAAATTCTAGGAAAATTCATAGCTAATTCAATTGTGATTATAAATGGGGAATCTCATTATTTATCTTTTTCGCACAAAACACCTTAAATGTCCATGAATAGAAAAAATAATTGATCACATGATTATACACGAGGAATACTATTGAAAGGTGAAATAATCAGTACAATTATTATTTTATTTATGAAATATTCAATGCAAATTGAAATCGTCGAGAAATTGACCTGTTTACCCTCGTGTGGTCAGTCCCAAACTGTAAAATATTGGATATCCTTAAGGATGTATTATACCCTTTTCGCCAAAATTCACCTTTTTTGCATTTTTCTGGCAAATTTTTGATCGGATTGACGTGAAAAAATATACTGTTTTTGCGTTTTATCGTTACTTAATGACTCACGAAATTTCATGATCATGCAATTATTTTTCTCCGTTTTTTCTAAAACTTTTCGAAAATTCACAAAACTTTAGAAAAAATGCAGGAGAATGATTGCACTACCATGAAACTTCGTGAGTCAATCAATAATGATACAACGCAAAAACGGTATATTATTTCGCGTCAATCTGATCAATAATTTGGCAGAAAGATGAAAAAAGCGTGAATTTTGGCCGAAAGGATGTAGTACATCCTTAAACCATTGTATCGCTTCGCTACCGAACTCGCCTCAACTCAATGGTCTCCCCGCTGCAATCACCCCCCGACCAAAAAGCTCGACGTATCGTATTATCGCTCTGTGCCACTAGTATCTCTCCACCTAAAAAATCAGCCATGATCCGTGCTAAAATAACACCAAAAAAAAGAGAGTAAACTGGTATGACCGACAGCAGAGCAAGCACCGTACTCATAGAAGGCAGTTTCTATCCTTGTAGGTGTCCCAAGGTGATACCGAGAGCCTGTGGACCCGACCGGGGGTGGCCCACATCCCGAATAACGATAATGGAGTCAAAGCGTCACGATCGAGGTCACCACTCGCGGTCAGACACACCGGAGCCTCCATCGCCACCGAGCTATACCTCAAGCCACCAGGAGACCCACAAGAGGTCCCACTCACGTCATTCCCCATCGCCGGAGCACAGAGCCGGCAGATCATCGCGGAACACATCATCCGAGAGAAGGCGAAGACGTAGAAGTAGCTCGAAGCAACGTTCACCACTGACAATATCCCGAAAACGTTCGCGATCGAGTGAACGCTCAAGGAGGCACTCGAGACGCGAGAGAACCCCCTCAAGATCGCGGGGCAAGAATAGATCGCGTGATCGACGAAGAAGTAGATCAAGAAGTGTCAGTAGAAGTTCAACCAACAGCAGAAGTCGAAGTAGAAGCAGAAGTCGAGGTAGAAGGGACAGGGACCGTCATCGAGAGGGCAGAAGACATCATCGTTCACCAGACTCGGATCATCACAGTGAACAAGTTGTGGTTATTCAGCCTGTTTTACCAGCACCACCTGTTGTTCCATTACAATCCAATGCCTTTGCCAATGATGGCAGCTTCATGGAGATGTTCAAGAAGATGCAGGAGCAGATGCCAGCAGTTCAGAAGCCAACGACGTCGACTCTCGAGGAGAAACCAGTGGCACCACCACCACTGATGGTGGGAAAAAGACGTGGGGGGAGAATTCTGAAGACTGGAATGGTTGCTAAACCCAAAACGGAGGAAAAGGGAGAACAGCCTAAGGATGCTTGGTCGTTGTACATGGCGGAGGTGAAGAAGTATCGGGAAGTCTGCTGTCAGGAGGAGGACAATACCAGGCCTCTTGTCAAATAATCATCTTCACTCGTGATGATTTTTACGTTATTATTATAGTCTTAATGGACAGTCAGGCAGAAGTATCAGAAGAAAGAGAGAGAACAGAAGAAAGAGGGAGAGTCAAATATTTCAATGATTGGTTTTATTATCTTTATTCTACTTCCTCTTTAGTGTAAACGGGGAAGAGACTATGAAGACAATTAAGAGACACGAGTGTTTTGGTGTTTTATTATGATAAGAGAATATTCATTATTACGAGATAATTGGTCAGAGCGAGATACGATGCGTACAGCTGTAATAATTCTTTCGTTGTTCATTCGTGTAACTGAAATGATAGAGAATAGATTGTATTGCTGGATAGACTATTTAAGGTGTTGTACTCACACTTTATCATTACGATTTATTGACAGCAGAAGGTTCGTAAGGAAACACTAGCAAGATGAAGAAAGAAGATCTGACTATGGAGTATGTGGAGAACTACAGGACGGTACCTTCCGATCCAAGGTTCCCCAATACAAATCAAACCAGGTAATTGTGGATGATCAACGGTTAGTTCAGTTCGAGTGATAATCGACTTCCTTGCATGTTTTTAAGAATATTCAAGTATCTTTTACAGTTTAGTATAGACCACACACTGAGAGAAAAACAGTCAAGTTCTCAAAAAAGTCTTGTTTGGGCCAACAAAATCGATGGTTGAAAGTTGCCAAAAAAGAAATTGTTTGATTCGAATTTGAAAGCCTCAAACATGAATAATTGCTCTGCTGCTCAAGAGGCAGATGGATAGATAGATAGATAGATAGGTATATAGATAGATAGATAGATAGATAGATAGATAGATAGATAGATAGATAGCAGCAATTTATTATTTCCCTGAGATACAAAAATCCCCCAAGGGAAAACCAATTTAAAAAATCAGATACAATAAGCAGAACAGATGTGGACGTCCGCATGAAAAGGGACCACTTTGGCACTATTGGAGTTATGTATATTCCCATAATTTTGATCTGATTCTGAACATTTAGAGCCCAGAATGAACTTGATAGCGTAAAGAGTGACGACGCTAAAGAAGATCGAAAAAATAATTTAAAATGGGTTTAAATGGGAGTTGGCAAGAGAAAAACGTGAGTATCTCGGACACTAGAATCGACAAAGTGGTCCCTTTTCATGCGGACGTCCACAAATAATTCACACGAGACAGTACCTTTTCAGCGTGAAAATATCTCATATAGAGGGAAATTTATCAAGAAATATTTTGTTCCTAAGTTACAAAATTGCTATCATATCATTATTATTATTTGATTTAAGGCCCGATTAGATTATCTTTCGAACGCGATCTTGGTTGTTTTTTTATTTTGACAATCTGAAAGGATCTCCAATTGCTATTCAGCTTTACATAGCCCTGGAGTCTCCAAAAATTATGATTCTACAATGAAAAAAACGTTGAAAAAAGGTTGAACATTTTCAAAGAGCGTTTTTGAATAACATTGGGAAATAAACCCAATAGGGAGGAAATTGCAAATTAATAATTTGATGTATCTAGTCGCTGTTAGATCGTCGTTTGTCACAGTAGTCAATGGCTGTCAGATCGCTAGTTACCATGATAAATTATCGATTTACTATTTCTTCTCTATCGGAATTATTTCTTAATCTTTATTAAAAACGCTCTACGAAAATGTTTATTTTTTTCTACTTTTTTTTGATTTTACAATTATAATTTTCAGCGACTCCTGCGTGATGTAAAATCCAATGGAAATTGTGATATATTTTACATTATGAAGATGGAAAAACAATCAAGATAACGTTCGAAGGATAATCCATCCGGGGCCTTAAGTCAAAATAACAAAACAAAAAATAATTAAATTAAGAAATAGTTGAATGCAGCCGAAATCCCTAATTACTGGATGACCGGATCATATTTTTCTATTTATTAAATGCCGATCAATAAAAAAAATGATTGATCACATGATTATACATGAGTAACATTACTGAAAAATGAAATAAACAGTACAATTTTCATTTTATTATTTATGAAATATTCAATGGAAATAGAAATTGTCGAGAAACTAGCTCCTGTCCAGAAATCGACCTGTTTATCCTAGATGACAAGTCCTTATGGCCCTGAATAACTGGAATTAATAGTGAAGAAATAAAACTATACGAGTCAATTTCGCTTGGATCGCAATTCGTTGAAAATCTCAAAATCGTAGAGAGATGGTGAAATCTTTAAAAAATACCATTTCATTACTTGTGCATAAAGTACAATTTTCCCACTTGCCACACATCGTAACGAAAAATAGCGTCGCTATTCGTGAAAAAAGTGTACTTCGACCCTTGGGAAGGTAGCGCTCGCCGAAGGCTCCGCTTCGCTCCGCGTCCGTGAATCTTTGCCTACGGCCGGAATGACAAAAAAAAATTATTTCTGACGAATATGATTGCAGCCATCCGCCTTCGGCTCATGTTGCAAACCTCATATTCGCCAGAAAAGTTTTTTTCGGCCTAATGACGAAATATACTATTCGTTACGAGTGCGGAAAAGAGTTTTTTGACTCGTGGGAGGTTAGCACGAGCCGAAGGCGAGTGATATAATCCCACGAGCCAAAAAACACTTCCCACGAGTATCGAACGATATTTTTCATCACAATGTGTGGAAAAGGGACGTTTTAGGCACGCGAAGCATGCCTAAAAAGTTGCTTCTTCGCACAGCGTGATGAAATAGTATATTTCATACGAGTGCAAAAAACATTTTTTTACGAGTTACGAACAATATTTTTCATCACAATGTGGCGAAAATTGGGCTTTTAGGCACGCGGAGCGTGCCGAAAAGTTCACTTTTCGTCACAGCGTGATGAAAATATTGTTATCGTCTGATGACATAATGTATGCACTCCTACCGAAATGTACTATTTTGTAGGGAAAAGCGAGATCTACAAAATGGTTTCATAAACATCCTGCTATCTCCCTGAGATTCAAAAATATTTATTAAACACAGGAATCAGCCTTGAAGTAAAGAAACAAGATGAGTCAATTGCAATCACTGTTACAAAAAAATTGAAATTCCATGGGCAGTTTAATAATAATTGTCAAGGGGTCGGGTGAATAATGAAATTTCAGATCAGGCTAGAATTGAATCAAAAACAAAAAATGTTCCAAAATTCAGTAGCGAAGCGATAAAACGGTTCAAGTCCTTCTTGATCATTGGTCATTTTTCAGTGAATATTTCGGAATCTGAGGGAGATGGAAACTTTTTGTCGAAACCTTTTTTTAAGCCCGCATTTCGCCCGAGAAAAACGGTCATTGTAAAAATTTCGTTATCTTCTTTAGATTTGAAGATATTCCTCGAAAACGTAGCTAAGAGCTAAGTCCACTTGAACCGTTTTATTCGCTTCGCTACTGAATAGAATCACATAGAACTTGTGCTATCCCTTGATAGGACAACGGAGATTCTTGAAGGGAGAGGGTAAAGAAAAAAAAAAGCACTGAAAATTCAATCGAGGTCTAAATTTATATGCAGGAGGAAGGCGAGAATTCGTCAATTTACTTGAATTATTGATTAAAACATGAATATTCAGTACCGAATAACGCAAAATTTTCAATGAATTTACCATTCAAAAATATATTAACCCGAATTTTCCTCATTTCTAGAGATTCTCATGGAATACAGGAACTGAAATTCAAAGTTTTCATTGATTTTGTTTTCATAAAATTGTGAATTTTCAATGACGAAATTTCTCCCATGTTGGTTGGATTGACGTATGGTAGCCTAAACAGCACTTTTATGAACGTTGATTAATTAGCCGAAATAAGAAGAACAATCTATTATTTCAACTAATTGATTAACCATCCAAAAATGCTGAGGACCGTCTAGGCCATATACATCCATTGAGCCATCATGAATATTTTAAAGGTAAAAAATCCCATTCAACAAAATTCTTTGAAATGTCAGTGAAACTGTTACTGGATAAAAATTTCCGAAAAATGATTTCTAACATCCATGATCAGTTTTTTCGAAATATCTTGGAATCTACGGGACGAGGAGGCAAAATGGATACTTTAGAATTTTTTTTCGAAAATTTTGAAAAAAAAACTCTGTAGCTCAAGAATTGGAGGCCCTGGACTATTTTTAAAATTTTAAGCATCTGCGGGGCAAACGGACAATAAACAATTAAATTTTTTGTACTAATTATTCGTTTTATAGAGATAATCGTTCTTCAATGTATGATAAATCTCACTCCAATAGACCGCGAATTGAAAAAGTCATAGTAGTCTCCCCTTAAAAAACGAAAATGTCCTGAACAAACACTAACAAAAAGTTCATTAAATTTAACGTTACGTAAATTTTGGTGTCCCCCCGACTTTTGTTTACTATTTCTTCTGTTGCACAGAAAAATTCCCAGCTTCTTTCAAATTTTTTTAATTTTAATTCTGAGTTTTAATTTTTTTCTTTTCAGTTTCTATAATTCTCTTTTTCAACTATTCGAAGATAACTTTTTCATAAGAGGTTTCTATTTTTTTATTTTTCAGTTTTTTATTTCTCAATTTTTTAGTTTTTTTTTTATCGATCAATTTGCAATTTTTCGTCGGGGGTTTTTAATTTTCAATTTTTCATTCTTTATTTTTCAGTTTCTCAGTTTTCTTATTTTTTCAGTGTTTCAGTTTTCTAGTTTTTCAGTTCCTCGGTTCTTCCGTTGCTCAATTCTTAAATTTTTGAATTTTTGAACCGTTTAATTTTGGAATTTTTACATTTTTGAATTTCTGAATTTTTGGATTTTAAACAGGCAATTTAATTGAAAACTTTTTCATCGGGGGTTTTTAATTTGCAATTTTCAAGTTTGAAGTTCCCCGCCAGTTTCTCGTTCCGGCCTAACTACCAACACATTTTTTTCACACCCAAGCAGCACAGTTCTGGAGGGTATATCTGCAAGTATACCAAAAAGGCTGTCTAATGTCTGTCCAAAAAGGTAACTTGTGTCTAGAAGTTACCTAGAAGTTAACTAAAAGTTATCATATGACTGCAAGATACCTTTTGGACGGACATTAGTCTGCCTTTTTGGTATACTTTCAGATATCTTTCGCAAGGTTTGCTACTTGGGCAGTTACTATCCTAGGGATATTTCGTTCAGCCTAGTGATTTTCGACGAATCATTTACAATTTATGATTTTTTGAGAGATTTGACTCATTAATCTCAACATTGGTGTGTCGGGTAGAATCCTGAAAGTGTTAGCTTTCGTTCACGTACAGCCACAACTATTTTTACTCAGTTTTCGTGAAGTAAAGTGGATTTAACCGCATGTAAATGTGCCCTAGGGACTTGTCAAAAGTCTATACCCCTCCTTTGGGTGTCGTCGGGGTAAAAACGTTACACTG